ACCCTTTTTAGAGGTATCCTGAAGTTATGATATATCAACATATAAATCCTTACAATTATATCTCAAAAGCCTAAAAATTGTATAACAATTTGTACCACAAATGAAAAATATAATATAATAATAGCTTGAAGCGAGGAGTCAGAGGAAGTGGCCCCTGAAAAAATCACTTTATCTAAAAGTCTTATCTACAAAGACTTTAACTCTTCCAAAGAGTTGTGTAAACACACGATAAAAGAGTTCATCAGAAGTTCATCCTTGAACAAAGTGGGAATTGCTGCTTAAATTATAGCTGACGATTTTCAAATACTTTCTTTTTCTTTGACTTGCACGTTGAGAAATGGTTTCTTATTAAAGTTCTCGTTTCTTTGAGTAATCGAAACTCATTTGTATGGAAATGCTTGGAATACTGAGAAGGCTTCCCAGCATTGACAGCTGCGCTTCAGGCTCATAAGTGTCGCAATTATATTATATTGAAATATTGAGCAGAAAGTGGGAAAAGGGAAAAACGGAACAGTAAAAGGAAAACACATTTCGTTTGCCTAATTGGCCGACAGCAACATGTGCATTAGTTTTGGGCAACAGAAACAACTTTTTTCTTTTGGCCAGCAGCGTGCCAAAAATTCCCAGCCGGAAAACCCAGCGACCCTTTGCGCTGGGCGAACGCTAATTAAACAAGTTCTCACACACTTACGAAGGGTATCAAAACTTGGTCGTGCAATATGAAAAATAAAATAAAATAAAATATACATTTATAATCTTGTTCGGCTTCAACAGACGAGTTTATATAAAATTTTCCGTCTTTTTCTTATTGGAAGTTTCGAAAATCTTTTACATACATCAGACTTCTATACATATATATATATATATATATATAATTCTTAAGGAGGAATCTTTTAACCATGTTTTTTACCTAAGAAAACTTTTGCCAATTTCTAGATAACTTATCCAAACCCTGAGCTCTTCAGTTCTGCTTCTCCCAAAACCTTGACCCATTTGTCTACCAGAGTATTTAATCTTTGACGTGCTTTAGTGCCACTTTTTTTTTACAGTACACATGACAAGCGCTAACTGTTTCGCCTTGTTCTACTTGGGCCATTTATTTGAGCTCAATTTTCTCATTAAAACAATTAACTGTGCGTTTATTGCGAAACAGGTGAGCTGGCAGCCAGGTGACAGGTATAAATGTTCGCCTACATTTTTGTGGTAAATTTCATTTTACCCACGGGATAACATTTAACAGGGAGTTGCCTTCCCTACTTTTGGGCCAGTTTGCCAGTGTCAACAAGTTAATTAAAACAGTTTAACAACGATTCGTGCTCGCCTTGTGTTTGTCCACACTTCTGTTGAACGCCCACTCGGGCCCAATTCACTTCTGGGAACATTACTTGCATTAAATAAAAAAATATATTGTCACTAATTGTAACCAAAAATAAAAACTCGAAAGGTTCTGTTGACTTTGAAGCAGCTTAACAAAAATTCCTTTTGCATATGTTATTCAATGCCAAGGCCAATTTTGTTTATATTTCTTGCAGACATATTTCCTTAGTTGTCTGCGTTTGCTTTCATTTTAATACCCAATAAACAATAAGTTTGTCGAAAAGCCTATGAGTAAAAGGCCAAAAAAGGTTATCTTATAATTTGGATAATTAACTCATGTTCATTGCAAAGTTCAGGCTAGTTGACAGCAATTTATAATTGTTCTATGGATGAGCTGCATTTTTTTTGTCATCTTAATGGCAAGTCAATCGAGGAAAATACTTTTAATTGTATGCTGATATATTTATATTATGCATATATAAGCATATTTATACAATAAAACTTTACAATGTAGATAAAGTACCTCGCAACTTTTGCCAGCTAGATTCAGCTTAATAACATGAGCTAACGAAATGGAGTCGAAAAGAGTTCACTGCAAGTCTAGTTTTACAATGAAGATAAAGTACCTTGCAACTTTTGCCAGTAAAATATAACTAATCAACATAAGCTTACAAAATGGAGTCGAAAAGAGTTCCCTGCAAGTCTAGTTTTACAATCAAGATAAAATACCTTGCAAGTTTGGCCAGTAAGATTCAACTAATTAACGTGGCCTAAGGAAATGGAGGCGAAAAGGGTTCACTGAAAGTCTAGTTATTCAATCAAGATAAAGTACCTTGCAACTTTTGCCAGTTAGATTCAGCTTAATAAAATGAACTAACGAAATGGAGGCGAAAAGAGTTCACTGTCAGTCTAGTTTTACAATTAAGATAAAGTACCTTGCAACTAATTAACGTGGGCTAAGGAAATGGAGGCGAAAAGTGTTCACAGCAAGTATAGCTTAACAATATAGATACAGTACCTTGCAACTTTTGCCAGTAAGATTCAACTACTTAACGTGAACTAACGAAATCTAGGCGAAAAGCAGCACCCTATATGTTAAATTAATATAATTGAAATATAGAATATTCATAAGTACAAGAAAATATATTTAAAGGGTATTCAATTTCGAAACCCCGCCTGTAACTTCTCTTGCGAGTACTTACTCTTGTATACCTTATGGCAACACAAAGTGCTAAGTGTTAACCTGTCTTTATTAAGTATGGATATAAAATATGGAGTATCAATATTATATGCTAGCTCTAAGCTAAAAGCACATCATATTTAAAGCAAAAAGCAAAGTTTATGGCCATTTTGTTTAGCCTTTAAAGGCTTTCACAAAATTTTAATAAACATTTTCGGCTTGTTAACAAAGTCATCTGCCATTGATTACAGAAATATGACAAAATGGAACCAAGTTTAAATATTTACTTTACAACTTGATTTTGTCGATAATTTGAGAGAGAGATTTATCAAAACTCGCACAAAAATTTGCACTGCAGTCCAATCAAAACGTGCAGCGAACAAAAAAATTGGCAGCCAAGTTTTTTTTAGACAATTTTTAATGAGTTGACGAATTGAAAATATTTCTTTATTTCTTGTCGTTCGCCAATTTGTGGGGCGTGTCTTGCGGTTCATTTATTGTGAGCTCTGCGCATGGTTCATTTGGTAATTCCGCAATTTGTGCAAAAGGGAAATATTCCAATTGGATGCTGTTCGTGAAGTTCATTTGCCTTTGAACTGGTTCGCAAATGAAGGAATTTTAGAAGGGATTGAGTCGGAACCACGAACGTGTCTTGGTTCTTTAGAGCTAAAGTTCTTGATAAAAAAGACTTAAAAAATAGCAAAATATCTTATAATACATTTTGTGAATATTGAAAAGTCTATTTATTAAATAAAAGCTAGAAAAGACATTTAAAAAACAGCCAAATATTTTATGATACATTTTATGAACATCTTAAAAATCTATTTATTAAATAAAAGCTAGATAAGGATTAAAGAAAATAGCCATATATCTTATAAATTTTATGAATATAAGAAAAAAGCTAGATCATTTCTTTAAAAATTTTTCATAAAATTTCTGTCAACTCATATTAAATAAAAAAATTAAAAATTTTCAAATTTTGCATGCTGTTAATTTGCGTTAGTACAGTTTGAGCCTAAGCAAAAAAAGTTGTTCCATTGTTTGGGTTTGAGAAATTAAACCAAATCAGAGATCTTCAGGAGTTAGACACAACCGAAAGTGCCAAAAGTTTGAAGCCATCTCATTTATATTGTTCACCAGCGAAAAGTTATTTTAGAGACAAGCGCAAGAAACGCCAAGGGCAGAGCTGAAGGCGCTGTGGCCAGGCTAATGGGAACCTAAGACAGGCACATGGTTAGGGGAAGGAGGAGGTGGGGGAGCGGGGGGAGGCGTTCAACTTGTGCGTAGCGAAGGAGTTAAGCCAATGCCTGATGCCACGCCCACGCACCTAATTAAATGAAACGATGCGAATGGCGGCCTTAGAATAAAAACAAGCAAGAAAATCTATGCACAACACGCCGAAGATTAAATACCCTTCTAGACAAGGGGCTTACGATTTGTGTGGAGCAAAGGAAATTTTGAATTTTTTTTTTTTTGGTGAAGATATCTTGAAGAAATAAAGGTTTTCCATATGAAACCTCAATATATGACCGATAATTTCTATACACTAATATTATTATACAGTAATCCGATATTTTTAAGAAAAATGTTCTGGATTAATGTTTACTCTAAGAGAAGATTTACCATATTAAACCTCAATATATGACCGATTCTTTCTCTCCACTAACATTATTTTATAGTAGTAAGTTAGTAATCCAATATTGTCAAGAAAATTTTGGATTTGTGTCTACCCCAAAGGAAAACTTTTCCATATGAACCTCAATTATTGACCGATTCTTTCGATACAGTAATAATATGATATAGTAATCCGATATTCCTTAAAAATACTTTAGATCTGTGTATACTCAAGATGTCCTATATACCAACTTAGAGCTAGATAAGGGCTAGAACTTAAGGGCTACGAGATATGTTCAAGAAATGGGATGTTTATATAGTTTGTTATGGACTTCATGAAAGCTGTGCGAGTTATTGAAGTTCTGAAATAAAAAAGATCTATTCGTGCACTAAAAGAGCCTATATTCAAAATTTCAACTCTCTCCAACTCTTAAAGTTCTCGAGATACACGCGTTTATACGAACGGACTGACGGTCAGACAGACGAATTTTTCTATATCAACTCGGCTATTGATACTAAATTAAGCTTAAATATAGATAAATGTGCTCGCAGCTGTCTTCTGCAGTGCGTTACACATTTCAAGACAGGCCTATAATACCCTCTGTAAGGGTATTAACTAGCTGTACTACATAAGCACAACCCAAGCAGCCAAAGTTGGCCAAGAGACGCCTTGACGCAAGTTGTTGATTTAAACCTGCGTCGGGTGTGTGTGCGAGCGAGTGTTGGTGTGTGTGTGCAACTGTGTGTTTGGTTAAGCACAAAAAAGTGCGAACACCCACACGCAGTTGGTAAAGGTGTGAGGGGGGTTAAGGAGGGTATAAATGGTGGGCGGAACGGTTGTGATGGTAATTACCCTCATACGAATTTTCATTTGTGCTTGCAGACAAAAAAAAAACCGACAAACGGCGCTAACAGCTCGCTTATCCCGAGGACAACAGCCAAGGCACACACACACACACACACACACACAAGCGAGAAGGAGGCCATGAAGTCCGACATCCAAACATCCTGCCTGCTGGTCCTGACGATCTTGGCCAGCACGCGTCATGTCCTCGGCTTTCTGACAGCTACGGGCCACGCGACAGCGTCTCGCAATGGAGCAGCTGCTGCTGCTGCTGCTGCTGCTGGGGAACACCAGCATTCACGTGCCTACTTAGCTGGATTGGGAGTCGGAGGAGTTGGAGGAGTCGGAGCTGGAGCTGGGGCAGCTGAGGACGACGAAGGCGCCGCCTTTGAGCAGCGACAACCCAACTTGAATGCGCAGCAACGTAACGTTTACGATCCTGGAGATGGTGAGTCCTTGATTAAATAACGGCACTGAGTTCTTGTTCTTGAACGGATTACGGCGCCTGACATTTGACTTCTGTTTGTAGGCTTTGTCCATCTTCCTCTTCTTCCTGCAACGAGCTACAATGTGCGCCATGAAAGTTTATTTCACATTGAGCAAACTATGTCCGAGCAGTTAAACGGGCTCATAGTTTTCCAAGATTAGAAACGATTTTTGGGCGGCAAACCCTTTGGGTCAGTGCTTCTTGACTTCCCTTTGAATACTTGAAAAACTTGGGCTCGAAATATTTTCACACATTTTTTAGTAGCTCTAAAGATTCGGTCAATATTTTCACAAACTTTTAAGTTGAGTTGAAAAAGTTAAATATAAATAAATATAAATATATAATTATATATATATTATGATGTAATAATAATAAAAATAAAAATAATAAAAATAAAAATAATAAAAATAATTATAAAAAAAAAATCATAATAATAATAATAATAATAATAATAATAATAATAATAATATAATATATTATAATAAATATATCTATATAACATTTATAATTATAATTGTATTATTAAATATAAATATATCTGTTAACCTTTTCAACTTTACATAAACTATATTTATATTTATATAATTAAATATAATTTAAAAAAAAAACTTATGTTTGATAATTAATTTAAAGCTATGTCGCAACTTATTTTAATAGAATATTTTTTAGACAAGCTTTATGCCAAAAATAAAAAAAAACATTTTACATTTTTTAAATGCTTTCCAGACTTTCAAACCTCATGTATTATTTTCTATATAAAACCCTTTTCTTTGATTGATTAAGAAAAAAATATAAATAATAGAAAAAATATATATGTTTTATTAGTTAGACATATTTAACTTCTTTTTGTGTGGTGTCTCTTCAGACTTATTTGTAACTTCTTTTTATATCAATCCAGACTCATGTTTAACTTTTTTCTTCGTAACTTGAAAGCCTTCAACTATTGTTTTCTACTTTCTCGCTTGTACTATAAATAGCTTTTAATATCTTAAAATAGATACTGGGCTGATAATATGCATTTATTCTGCATATACTTAAAAAATCCCTAAAAAAAAAAAGTAACCCCATTTTCAGCAGCCCAAAATTTTGCAGCTCAAATAAATTAATTTATGAAAGCAGACTTGTTTTGTTGGCATTTAAGCCCATAAATATTTATGGAATTCAATTAGAACATTTTGGCTTATGGCTTTTCCACCACATTTGGCTGCACAGTCAACAGGTGCCCATATTTTGGTGTAGCCTGCTTTTGGGTGCAACCCCCCTACAACCCCCCCCCTACAACCCCCCCCCCCCCCACCCCCCTCCCTCCACTCAACCCGCCAACGCAGCAATTGATTTGAATGGTCGCTGGGCCTTTACGGTCAGTGCGCAATTTTTGGAGTGCGTTTATCTATGGCAACACACCAAACACACCAGACACACACACACACACACACACACACACACACACACTCACACACACACACACACACACACACACACACAGAGGCACAACACTTAACACGCCCATCAAATGTTAACAATTTTTGACGCATTTGAAATTTGGTTTTACGTCAGAAGTCGCGACGTTTTGTCTACAATCAATGGACACACACACACTCACACACACGCACACTCACACACACGCACACTCACACACACACACGAACTTGCACTCTCCTAGTGTGGCCATAAAATTAAAATATGAACACAATTGATTACCATTTATTTGGTATAATAAATTCGTTTGGGTTTCCAATTGATTTAAGTTAGGTTGCGCTCAAACCAGGGTTGGAGCAATGTCGTATGTTTTGCAACACTGCACAATGTAATAAGATACTTAAAAACTTTTATGTTTTCTTTAAAGCTTATGTTTTTCAACACTACACAAAGTAATAAAATGTTGCACATAAGATACTTAAAAACTTTTAAAACATTATTTAAATTATGTTTGTTTTTTTTTTAACCTGGGGTTTTTCAACACTGCACAAAGTAATAAACTGTTACGCGGAAGATGATGAAAATCCTTTAAGCCATAATTTAAATTAAATCAAATCATTTTTTTTACTTCAAGCAAAAGGTAATATTTTTTCAAATTCCCCTTGTATTCATACTCAGTATCCTATAGATTTCTAAAATATAAGTAGGTACAAGGTCTAGCAAAGTAATGTTTTTTTTTTCCAATTTATTAAATATTTTTAATCAAATTTCGTATGTTCAAAATAGAAGTTAAATAGCAAAACTTATTTTCGGAGCGTTATAAACAAATGCAAAAACAATTATTTAGGTTTAATTTTTTATTTGAAATTGAATAAGACTGAAAAAGAGTTTTAGTATTGTTTTCTCTATCTCCTCTTAAGAAAAACAAGCCTTAAATGGATATTTGTATTTCTTAAATCAGAACATTCAGGAACATTCAGAACATTCATTTTCAGGTCAATTTTCTAATATGCAAGAAAAACAAGCACAAAATCTCAAATAAATGATGTTTAAAAAAAGAAATGCTTACAAGTTGATCAGCTTTGAGTTCGAAGGCAGACAACTCTTAATGCTAAACCAATGAATCGTAAGCCGTAATCCGAGTGGAAGCAATATGTGGGCGCGGGGCGTGGCATTTAAGCCGAGCATAAGAGCTGGCAGGAAGCTGCCAAGTGAGACAAAGGCAACCGCATGATAAACGGGCAAACGTCAAACACAATGAACGACCAAATTGAAAGACTGACTGATGGACGGACGGTCGGACGGACGGACTGGGAGACGGACTGGAGGAGGGACTGGGGGAGGGACTGGGAGACGGACTGGGGGACGGACTGAAGGATAGACTGGGAGACGTACTGGGAGACAGACTGCGGGACGAACTGAGAGACGAACTGGGAGACGAACTGGGAGACGAACTGGGAGACGGACTGCGGGACGGACGGAGGGACTGGGAGACTGACTGACGGCTGTCTGAGCTATTGTCGTGGCCATTGCCGCCGGTCAATTTCCGGCACGTCTGAGCAAATATTCCGTCCGTGTATTTGAATATGAATGAGTATTTTTAAGCCGCAACAAATGGAAGCGAGAGCTACAAAACGATGCCAACTTTCAAATGTCAGTTGGCGGAAACCCCGCCCCCTTCTTGTCGTTGGAATTAGCGGCAAAGTCGCGTAAAATATTAAAATGCCAAATAATACAAGTTATTGTGGCTTCACTTTTCTCGCCCGTACACAGAGCTGCTGCACGCGCTGAACGCGGAGTTGGGCCAGGAGCCGGAGACGGCACCGGAGACGGAGCCAGAGCCGGAGCCAGAGCAGGAGCCAGAGCCAGAGCCGGAGCCGGAGACGGAGCGAGAGTTTGCGAATGCCGTTTACAATGAACTCGAGGTGGCCAGCAAATATGATATGCTCAAGAAGCTGGAGCAGGATTTGCGCGCCGAGCAGGAACTGGTCGACAAATCCGCTTTGCTCATGAAAATGCTAGAGGTAAGTTGCGGAGTGGGCGGAAAAATTGTGCATATTTATTTACAAACTGCCTACCGACAGGATCCCTCGCTGGATAAGCTGCCGCTGGTCTATGTGGAGGAGGAGGAGCAGTTGCCGGCGGCAATTGCCGGCGATGATTACCCCGAGCTGGACAACAGCATTGGCAGCCTGGTGCTTGGCCCCAACAAGCCGAAGCGTTCCCGTTATTATCGTCGTTATCCCTGGAAGCGACACAATCGCAATCGCGGGTAAGCTATTGTTATTCTGGTAGCCAAAAAAAACACACCAAGAAAAACCAACTGCAACAAAATCTATGTTTGTTATATCCAAACCCCAGTTTTGATTTGTAGTCGTAGTGTTGATTAATTCGCTTTTTTCAGTTAAAAACTTAATGGGCAATGTTCCTGAAATCGCTTTCGCTACAATTTCGCCTTTGCCAAATTTGTGAAATCAATTAGTTTGAAACAAATAAAAAAATTATACACAATGTCATTATTTTATGAGATATAGATTCCAAAACGGAAGACTAAACTCGATTAGCTAAACATTTTGGCGAAATGTAAACAAAAGTTTCGAAGCTGCCTGGCTTTTTCAGGAACAAACCCACAACTTGAAGAATTGAAAATGAAAAACTGTTTTTTAATCAATTATTTGTACTAAACTGCATTTCCAAGAGTCTCTCTAGGCCTGAACACAGAACCCTCGAATTACCGAATACCACTAATCAATGCCAACGCCCAAAAAAATGTCTATATGAAAAGTGGGCGTGATGTTAACCATAAATTCTAATTGCAAAATATTACTGTTATCAGTTCTTACATGAATTCTATCAACAGCAATTATGAACCGGAACTGCGTTTCGCCTGCACGCCTAGCAAGGAGGATATATTCAAGCTTCTGGTCAATTTGCATGAGAATCGCAAGGGCAATCACAGCAAGACGGTTAACTTTTGTCATCGCAAGCGGCCAGCCAAGGTCGTATTCACCAATATACGATTCCTCGGCTAGATCCGGACAGGACACAAACACAATACACACGCAATACACACACACGCACACGACACACACACACATATGTATACCAAGCATCAATTGTATATTGCTGACAAAGTCAAGCGCGAAACTGGAGAACAACAAGCACTAACAATTAGCTAACTAATTAAACTAACTAAACTAAACTAACCAACAATTAGATAAATTTTTATTGACCTTTTACCCCCTGCCATACTTCGTGCAATGAGTTTGTTACAAGCCAATTAGCCAACACTTAAAACATTTCCCAACTCTAGTGTTAAACAACTTCAACTTTTGATATCTCTAAATGTGTTGTATATACTTACACCTCTACATACTTATATATTTATATATGTGTATGTACATATGTGTATAATTAAAGTTTTACTAGTTTATGCAAATATCAATTTAATACACATGCCAGTAAATGTTTCAAGCGTGTCATATCATTAGAATGCGTCAATCGGTGTTGGTAGTCAAAGTATTATAATGTTAACGTAACCTAGAAAAATGGATTGAGCCTAATTATATCTAAATATTATCTATTGTATGTATAAATCAAAAATCAATGTGTATATATCTATACTTAACCAATAATTCTTAATAAATATTAATAATAATAATTATAATGTGTACGAATCGATGTAAAGTCGGGAGATCTTATTGCTAATAAACATATGATAAATATATCTATATTATTCTTGTGCGCAATGATATTTACAATTGTTCTATTCTCTTTGGTTTTAGATGAGATGGGGAGAGGGTTACGCTATAATAATTTAAAATAAGAAATACTAATTTAAAAAAAAAAAAACAGTACAGCTTAGCCTGGCATTACGGCTAGATGATACCATATAGCTATAAATTTTCAAATATTTTTTTAGCTTTTTATTCCTTGACAAAAAGTAAATTTGGGGCAGATAACACTATGTAGGCTTTCTTCCAGGTTATTACAGTTATTATCTCAAGGCTACTTAACCTCAAAATCAACATTAAAAAAAAAATATATATATATACGAAGACAGATCTGAATATTTGTTTATAATAGAAAAAAGGATTGGGCTTCACGGAACATTTAAATAAAAAACAAAAACTAAGATATTTTGAATAGTATGTAACTGTTTTTTTCACAATATAAAAAGCCAATCTCTTATACATAACCTTAAAGCCGAAAAGAACAAAAGTAAAAAGCTAGACAGAGCTCATCAAAAATTTATATTCTCTTGCTGCCCTTAAGGACTTAATTTTAGCTTTATTTTAGGATTATCTCTTAAGCTCTTCCATAATTAAACTAGGTTTCAATTCTAGCGAAAATTCTTCAAAAACAAAAATAAACACATTTTATTTTTCTCTAAACACAACAAAAAAAAACGGTCTAAATATGTTATCTACTTTTTTCCTATTTATTTGGCAAAAATATATTTATTGACGGGCAACAATTGTTCTTCTATGATCTCTCTACCAGCTCGACTTTGCTGACGTCGACATCGACAGTGTTGACAATTCAGCTATTTTCTAGCTAAAATAGCTAATTATTAATAGAGTTCGTCAGCCGGAAACAGTTGCAACTTAAAGCTGATTTAGCTATTGTGCTCACATGTTTTAAGCTATTTTTAACAATGGATTTAGCTACTTTCGGCATTTGGCAACACTGGTCGTAGGCGAAGTGTGACAAAAAAGGTTTCACGCTGAGTCATCGCCGGGCTCAAAGCTGTATTCGAGCTGCTATTGGGCAGCGTTTTGGTAAGTCACACGCATTGTTGTGAATATACCCTGTACAACTTGCTAAAAAGGTCGTTTGGTTATGAATGTTCAGAGAAATGAATATGAATTAATATGATTTTCGGGATCAAGACACAGTTGATTAAGTCTCATAAGGTCTTGCAAGTTATTTAACTATCGGACAGTAAATGCAGAAAAATATTCAAAAATTGTCCATAGTAGGAAAAGTAGAAGAAGCACATCCGCTGCCCAATATAATAGCTTGCAGATCTGTTTATGATTGGGGAAAGAAGGAAAAGCACAGCCACTGCACAATATAATAGCTTCCAGCTCTATTTACAGGGTATCTGTTAGCCGGACACTCTGCCCTCTCTTTGCTGTTGCGGGTAACGTTTCCGTTGTTGTCAGGCACAGCAGCTCTTCAAATAGCTAACCTTAATGTTAAGTTGTCGTCTGGAGGTGTCGACGCTGAAGCCCAAGTAAACATATCCAAGAACTGCCCAGTCTGTGGGTATAGCAGAGGAGGCGACGCCTGACTCGGGCGTTCAATGTCAGTGCGGTATTCTCGCTTTTGAGGATGGGGGCGTGCGGGACGGACGTACTGGAACCACAATCACCGCACTTATGCGATGTTGTAAACAATGCGACGCATTTGTATGGAAAATGAAAGTCAGCACATGCTCGTCATAGTCACGGGTATCTTGTTTATCAGCTACTTTATAATTTAATACGCACTTATTTTCGCATAAAAAAATTATTTTGAGGAATGAGGTCTGATTAAGGTCGGGACAGTTTTTTATTCATTTTAAAATTAGCAACACGCTTTATAAAACAAGTGAGAGAGATACCATGAACAAAGACCATGAACCATGAACAAAGACCCAAATCTCGTTAGAATCGGATGAGATTTCACCCAGTTATGGGGGTGGGAAATTTTGATCTGATGTCTATATAGAATATTTGAGGGTACCAATTCACATGAATTTTGACCAGGAATAATGTTGCTAGACTTACATGGCAAATTGATCAAACATACATACGTACATACATACATACATATGTACATTCCTACATACCTACATACCTACAAACATACCTACATACCTACATACCTACATACCTACATACATACATACATACATACATACATACATACATACATACATATATACACACATACACACATACACACATACACACATACATACATACATACATACATACATACATACATACATACATACATACATACACACATACATACATACATACATACATACATACATACATACATACATACATACATACATACATACATACACACCTACACACCTACATACCTACACACCTACACACCTACATACCTACATACCTACATACCTACATACCTACATACCTACATACCTACATACCTACATACCTACATACCTACATACCTACATACCTACATACCTACATCCCTACATCCCTACATCCCTACATCCCTACATCCCTACTTACCTACATCCCTATATACCTCCTCACCCCTGACTTCATCACCAACACACTTGTCAGGCACTTACTAAAAATGCATTAAAAACTGCAGGGCCTACTTGAATTCTTGAGAATCGAGGAGAAGGGCACTTGGTAGCAATTCGTTTTATTTAAATTTGCAGCGTAGCGACAACTAAGCTTGGTCTGCGTTTGGTATAATAAAACGAATATGAATGCATGCATATATACATAAATGCATACATACATGCATACACTAACACACACAGACACCCACACACAGACACCCACACACATACACACATACACACATACACACACACACATACACAAACACAGCTGAACGGGATGAGCTGAGTCTAATTATTGGCCGACCTTTTATAGTCAACGACTTATTAGATATCCTACTAAGCTCGCAAAACAATCGGATTGCCATTAGCACCACAGTTTTATATATAGAGCTTAATATTTGACTAGCTGTCAAATATTTGACATGAGCACTGAAAGGCAGCGTTGCCATTTAGCAATGTATTTGCACATCTGGCAGCACTGGAAAACTGTTTGTGATTGGCCGTTAAAAACAGCGTTGCCAACTGATCCTTTTGGTGTTGCCAACCTAATGAGCTGACGTTGCCATATTGCGAAAAAATTTTATCATGAACTTTAGCAGGCGCTTAGTTAATGGTAATAAATATATTTGAAGAAACCTTAACTAGAAAACTGGATTTATTTATGGATTTACAGAACTATCGGAACTAGCCAAAAATGTTGCTAAACCAGCTGCGCAGCGGCGCCAGGCAAATGGGCTTGGTCAGCCAGAGCGTGTCCACGGACAGACGCAGCACCTCCATGTAGTCGAAGGTGCAGCTGCTCTGCTCGAAGGCCTTTGTGCCCGGCCGGACCGGAGCTGGAGACGTGGTCGTCGCCTTGGGATCATCTTCATTGTCGCCGTCTACGTCGAGGGCGGCGCGCGCAAAAGCCTGATCCGCATCGAAATAGTAGAACTCCTTGCGCGTCGAATTAGTCTCCACGACGCGCGCCGGCTGCTGTGCGTCCAGACCGCGTGCATAGGCCCAGGAGCCAGGAGCCGCCTGCCTCGACTGCCGATACGGCGTGATGGGCAACAGGGGGGAGAGCGGATAGCTGGGCAGGCGTGCCGGATAGCCGGGCCAGAGCGTAGCCTGCGGCTGGTAGCCCAGTTGGGACTGTAGGCCGCCTAGTTGGGACTGGAACCCGCCCAGCTGTGGTTGGAGTCCACCCAGCTGTGACTGGAACCCGCCCAGCTGCGACTGGAACCCGCCCAGCTGAGGTTGGAACCCGCCGAGTTGAGGTTGGATTCCGCCCAGCTGAGGTTGGAGTCCGCCCAGCTGAGGCTGGAGTCCGCCCAGACCCGGCAAGCTCGTCGCACTTTGACCATTCAGTGGCCTGTTGCCATCCAGCCTGTAGTTGCTGGTGTCCTGATCGTGGAAGATCTCGAGCAGAAAACCGTTGGAGGCCGCGCCGCCCGACTGACCCATGCGCAGACGCAACGCCTTGCGTTGGCCCTGGGGCCAAAAGGATTTGTGCACATGGCCCGAGCGACAGCCACAATAGCGCTGTCCGTCCAGCTCGATGAAATCACCAGAGCAGCCGCCGGAGGAGGAGGAGGCAGCGGAGGATCCACCACCAGCTGGATAATTACCAGTCGCAGCGGCTTGTCCGAAATCAAAGAACTTGAATTGAATGCGCAAACCGGCGACATTGGGTGAATTCTTCTCCAGATAGATGACGCAATCCCGCTGCTGATTCGGCAGCAGAGCGTTGAGCACGGTGCGCGGAAAACCCGGACTCGATAAATAGAAATGCGCCTGACTAAAGCTGCTCACACAGCACAAATCCACCTGCCCGCCAAACTGAGGATCGTAATCCCGCAAATTGGCGGCGGGCGCTTGAAATGCGGTCGTCTGATACTGTTCCGAGATGGCGGGCAACTGTTGCTGCTCCGGCTGCAACTGTTGCTGCTGCGGCTGCAACTGTTGCTGCTGCGGCTGCAACTGTTGCTGCTGTCCGAATTGTTGCTGTTGCAGCAACTGTTGGAGCAACTGTTGGAGCAACTGTTGCTGCTGTGGTTGCAACTGTTGCTGCTGTGGCTGCAACTGTAGCTGCTGTGGTTGCAGCTGTTGGAGCAACTGTTGCTGCTGTCCGAATTGTTGCTGTTGCAGCAACTGTTGCTGCAGTTGGAGCAGCTGTTGCTGTTGTGGCAGCAACTGTTGCTGCTGTCCAAATTGTTGCTGTTGCTGTTGCAATTGCTGCTGTAGCTGCTGCAACTGTTGCTGCTGTTGCTGCTGCAGCTGAAGCTGTTGCTGTGGCTCGTTGGTGGGGCAGGGTGCCGGATAGCCCGGATAAGCGCCTGGCCAGCCGGGCAGCACAGACTGCGGCGTGCTTATGTTGTGCCCCGCACCCTGCAGCTGATGATGATAAGGTTGATGGGCATTCACCTGCACCGTATCATCCGCATCATCCGCATCATCCGGCTCATCCGTTGCGGGCAAACCGCGCGCCGCCAAATCCTCCCGTTCGCAGGCCAAACGCGTAACGAGCAGCCGGAAGCCGCCGCCCGTTGTCCAAGGCGAATCATCGCTGAGGAAACGCAGCCGTAATATGCCATCCGGCGTTTGATACTTCTTGATGCCGAGCACCTGGCCGCAGAGCACATCCATATCGTGATCATCGTGCTGCAGGCCCACGGCCAAATAGTCGCGACTGCAATTCACGGACAGCTCCAGCTGAAAGTCCAGAAACTGTATATGGAATTTGGTAGGGCAGCGATACGGCGACCGTATCACATAATCCACACAGCTGTTGGGCGGATACGTGTCCGGATAGTTGGGCGATTCGATGAGGCTCTGTCGCTGGCGATAGACGCCCTGCAGCGTGCACTGCGGCAGCTCGTCGTGCACCGACCCCAGCGAGCTGGACAGGATTAGGAGTAATGCGAGCCAGCTGGCAAAGCCGGGCAAATCCTTTGGCCACATTTTCCGCGTGCTTTCCGGCTTTGTTACCTATAGAAACGCGCGACAAAACGCAACTAAATTGTCGCGGGTCACTCGCAGCGCTCTTTGGCCACAAATTAGGTGCGACTTTTCGGTCTCACTTGCACTGGGCGACCCTCTCAGCCCCTCCTCCCGCGTCCCAGCCCCTCCTCCACTCTCCACTCCATGAAAACAATTTGCACTCTTGTTTATGGGCCACAACAAAAGCGTTTACTTGTTTGCCGCCGCTTACAGCAAAAGTTGGTATACAAAATTTAAGCTGTTCCATCTCTTCCATCTTTTCCATTTCTGGCCTGTTCCATTCATAACTGCCAATTGGCGGCAAGCTGAGCAAACATTTTGTAAATAAATCTCGCATATTTTCCCCTAAATACTTCCTACTTTACGCACTTGACGAAAATACTTGACAATGTGGTGCAAAAAGGTTTCATTCGAAAACAACAAAACTCTATTCGCATTTACAATAGCAGCTACTCTTTTAACTGTCTTTTATTTTTCAAGAAACAAAAATCTTTGCCAAATATCTGACTCATTATTATTTAATATAAAACATAGTTATCGATAAATTTGGATATCGATTTTGAAACATGGTTTCTTAGCCATAACTCGAAGATTATCAGAGCTAGATATGCCAAACTTGGTATATCGATACTTGGTATATCGATAAATATCGATTTTAAGACATGGCTTTCTAGGCATAAATCGAAGATTATCAAAGCTAGATATGCCAAACTTGGTATGTCTATACTTGGTATATCGATAAATATCGATTTTGAGACATGGTTTTTTGGGCATAACTCGAAGATTATCAAAGCTAGATATGCCAAACTTGGTATATCGATACTTGGTATATCGATAAATATCGATTTTTAAACATGGTTTTTTAGCCATAACTCGAAGATTATCAAAGCTAGATATTTCCTTTATTCTACCAAAATCGACCCTAACATTTTTGTTCGATAACTCATTCAATTTTTCTAATATCGATAAATATCGTTTATGAGACATGGTTTTTTGGGCCTAGCTCGGAGATTATCAGAGCCAGATGCATCAAACTTGATATGTAGATTCTCCTTTAGTATACCCAGATTATGAATATATAATATGGAGCCTTATGCCTTGATATGTACACACCTTTTTAAATCATATTTAAGTTTTAGAAATTTCATAAAGATCGGACTACAAGCACCGAAGTTAATCAACAATACATTTCTCATGCACAGTGTGGGTCAAAGGAAAGAAGAGGTATCTCTTAGTCGGGCACTCCCAACACGCTCTTACCTCTTCTATATGAGTTGCCCCGCCAATAAATGCGTGGGATGAAATGCATTTTCACAAATTAATGGAGAAGTTCAGGGGCAACAATTTATTTTTTACACATCCCATTTCACTTTTCTCATAAATTAAAGCGTGCTCGTTAAACTACACGGGTTAAGTGCCGTTAAAAAACGCAGTCATAAAACCAATAACAAATAAAAATTAACAAAACAAAAAACAAGAAAATGAAGAAAAATCAACAATAAATTGCAAATGCGACGCCAAATAACTGTGTCTATTTACAATCGCACCAAACTTGCATAATCCCACAAAATATTTCTCGTGGGAGCGAATGCGGCACCTGGACCACGCCCCTGCCGAAAAGTCAAGCAAATAATTTGGTTATCGAAACAAAACAACGAATTACGTAGTCAAGCTGTAAACAATAGTATCTTTCACTCGGAAAGCATTTCTGGAGCATAACTTACTTATCCAAAGATTATATTTTGTAGAGGAGACTTAAATAAATTTAAATTTATTTATTACTAATAAAAGTAAGGGGTATTTGTAGATCGAGAAAATTTTTACACCAGAAGATGGATAAGATTTCTATATCGTAGAACTTCCCAGAAAACTGAAGATCGGAAACGATATTCGTCCGGTTTTAAGAAATGGACAAAACTAACTGTGACATATGTATATAGAAACTTGTTTAGAGTATATATCTAAATTTTTTTTAGTTATACCCTGTGAAATCCTTGCATTAATAGAGATGAAACCGACTGGATCAAAAGTGGATATATATTCTTTATGGGCTGTAAAATTCAGTTTTGTATGGGAGATTTAAATAAATTTAAACTTATTAAGGTTATTAAAAGACCTATTTGATTTATAAATAATAAAATTAAGGGGTATTTGTAGATCGAGAAGATCGTAAATTTTTCCCAAAACCTTAAGATCGGAAACGATATTCATCCGTTTTGAAGAAATGGAAGAAGCTAACAATAAGAAAAATATAAACTCGCTTGGAGTATATATATAATAAAATATATATATATTTAATTTTTTAGTTAAAGTCACTAAGATTTTTGCATTAATATAGATGGACTAGATCAAGAATATATATATTCTTTATGGACTGGAAGAGTCCAGTTTTGTAGAGGAGACTTAATATATATAAATTTATTAAAGGTATTTAATGGCCCATTTGATTTATTAATATTAAAGGTAATGGGTATTTGTAGATCGAGAAAATATAGTACATATTAAAATGAATCAGAGTGCGACTTACATTTTCTAGATCGTATAATATCCCAGAAAACTGAAGATCCTAAACGATATTCAACCGTATTGAAGTAATGCAAGAAGCTAACAATCAGATAAATATACATTAGTTTAAGGTATATATTTTTAATTTTTTTTTGTTTATACCCTGTAATATCCTGGCATTAATAAAGATGGACGTGACTGGATGAAAAATATATAGTAATTATTTATGGGCTGGAGGAGTCCAACTTCTGCAAAGAGAAACGAATATTAGATAATTAACTATGATATATTCCCGTATCTGGAGTCCAACTGAACTCCAGCTACTCGACTCGTAGGAAATGTTTTTTGACAATTGACAATTCTCAGTCAAGGGAATAGGCAGAAGGCTGCCTGTCATGATAGGAATTCCGTGTAAATTTCAAAATTGAGGCAGAGCACACAGTTTCGGACTAAGATTTTCGCCAAAATTTTTTCGGCTTTTTAACAATTTGATTATCAAAATTCGTTGTGGAATTTGCAAGGCGTATAAAGAAATTCGCTCGAAGGCGACAAGATGACAATGCGACTGAATTTGGGCACAATACTGAAGAATCAAGTCAGGAGCTCGCTGAGCGAGTCCGATAATACGGATGCGCCGCTGACCGGCGCCAGAGAAAATGCCAAGCTGCGAATTGGCTATGATAGTTCCCTGCGCTACTTTCCCGACAAGGCGGACGTGAAGAACCGCGTCAACTCCATGATGGCCAACATACACAAGCATATGAAAAGTGAGTAGCGGCTGGACTTGAAACAAATTCTGAGTACCTACCAAAACTGGGCAATGTGTGTGTTCCGCAGCCACGACGCCGCCGCGCAAGGCCGTGCCGGCGATACCCGGTCCCATAGCGCAGATCTCGTCGCCGCCGAGTCTCACCAAATCGACCAGCTCGAAGAAGATACGCCGGATCCGGGGCGGCGGTGTTGGTGGTCTGGCGAGCGGCAAAACGCCGGTGTTGCCCATATCGCAGATAAAGGCCCGAATGAATCGGCAGTCGCAGCAGGTGATGAGGCGCGGCTACTCGGAAATTGGTCCAAAGAGCTTTAGCAATCAGCGACGCATTCGAGAGGTGATGCTGCAAAAAACTGTGCTAGAGAACATGTTGTTACAGCACAAGAGATTGCAGCGCGACAGGCAAACGATTGCCTCGGACATACAGCGGATGCGTCAGGATCTGGACAGGATCAAAAATAAGCTGGACACATCACTGCAAACATTGAACTCCACGCGCACCCTGTACACTGGCCTGGGCAAGGGCAAAAAGGGTTCGGCCATTGTGGCCTTGTCATCGCATGTCATCAAAGACGCCTCCGGATCGACTCGGTCAGCTGGCGGCAAAGCCCGGTCCGCTGCCGCCAAATTGGGTAATGTAACCATGAAACGGCAGCATGCGGCAGCAGCGAAGCGTCGCAGTCGTCTTTAAGGTGGCCAAAAATCAATTTAATAGTTGCACAAGCGGCAAATTCAGTTAATAGTATTATTTCGAGCACAAAAGTTAAGAATAACAGTATGAAATATAGCGCGGCAAGATATTATTATAAGCAAACTAACAAAAACACAGTGTCAAATTGTGGTAGCCCTCGTTATTGAATTGCGCGCGCGCCGATAGACCGCACTTGGCTATCGATACTTTGTCTTGTACTTATCGATACCTGGTTTCTCATCACTAAATCATGGCGTCTGTCTCGCCTTCAGTTGCCAATAATTTTGTTTTTTCATTTATTTGCGTACATTCTCGTTTTGTTTTGCCCAATTGTTGGCGTAATTTGCATAAGAAAAAACCGCCTGCATAAAAAATGGGCTCATCGAAAAAGCACAAAAAGAACAAATCGGAGCGGCGCGAAAAATATGAAGGTAAAATGTCGCACAATTCATATATATAAGCGTGCATTTTGTTTTTGACGAGCGGCGCGCGTTTCTAAACCAAATTTCTTTCACAGAATATAGTCAGCACCAGGATCCAGCACAATTGCAGCGCGGCCTAAAGCTGATACTGAAGGTGGGCTCAAATGCAACGCCCGAGTACAGCGCCAATTCACCGCTGACAGCCCTGGATGGACACGGCCCGCCCACCGCCGCGGAGGCAATGATGGCCGCTGCGCCGGACAGTCCCACGGTGCCCGAGGAGCTGCAGTGTGGTGGCGGCGGCGGCGAGCTGGGCCACCGGGAGCGTCACAAGAAGTCCAAGAAGAAGAAGAAAAAGAAGGATCGCGAAAAGAAGCACAAGCATCACAAGGAGAAGCGACATCGCAGTCGTGACCGGCATCGCGAACTGTGCTCCGAGGATCGGCACCTGGATGAGACACCCAGCGCAGCGGACGATGCCGCTTGCAGCGGCTTCTCATCGACACAGCAGCGCAGTCCGCGCAGCCAGGCGCCCGCCTCGGCTTCAGTGGATGCCGATTGTAGTCAGGATGGATTTAGCTTTATGGACGACGATGCGGATCAGTCACAGCCACTGCCCGAAAATATCTTGTACTATGCGGGCATTACCACCGACAATTCACCCTCCAATTGTCCTGTCACAAAACCCATAGCTCCGCGCAAACTGGACGACATGCTGCTCGGCTCGCCCACATCCTCGTCGCTGGGCATGACATCCAGCGGCAGTCCAACAAAACCGCTGCCCGATGTGAGTGTGCCTTCGACTTAAAAATATCAACTAGTTTGATATATATTGACAAATTGTTCTTGCAGCTACTGATACCCTCACCCTCCGGCTCGACGGCTGCCTCCACGTCTGGCGGCGCCAGCTCCTTAAATGCGCTAACGCCCAAAGCTTTGGAGGCGCCCAAAACCCCGAGTAGCAGCAGTGAATCGGGACGAGAGCCGCGTAGCTGCGTGCTTAAGCTGAAGCAACAGAAGTCGCCGCTGAATAAGCTGCTGGAGCATTTGCTCCGCTTCCTGGAGAAACGGGATCCGCATCAGTTCTTTGCATGGCCCGTTACCGATGACATTGCGCCCGGCTACTCGTCGATCATCAGCAAGCCCATGGACTTTTCGACAATGCGCCAGAAGATCGATGATCACGAGTACGCGGCGCTCAGTGATTTCAGCGATGATTTCCGGTTGATGTGCGAAAATGCCATACGCTATAATCATGTGGACACCGTTTACCATAAGGCTGCCAAACGATTGCTGCAGTTGGGCCTGAAGCAGCTGCAGCCGGAGAATCTAATGCGCACGTTGAAACCGCTTTCCGGCTATATACGCGAACTGACTGCCAAAGAGCTGGGCTTTGAGCTGAGCTCCAATGAGCTGGCCGGCTACGATGCGCACGATTCGGCGGACGAGGGTGCATCGACGGGCGCCGAGGAGCCGCCCACGCCGGCCCAGCTGGAGGAGGAGGAGCGTAAACGGGCGTTGCGTTTGGAGAATGCCCCCAAAACGCACTTTGAACCCTACGTGGATGATCTGACCAGCGAGGAGATACTCGCCCAGGTGCAGGGCGCCGCACAGCAGGCCAAACAGCGCATCAGCGCCAAACAACGTGCCCACAAGATGGGCTTTCTGCGCCAACGCAAGGACGGCACCACCACGCTCAATCTGTTGATGCGGGACGAGAACGAGGGTCCCGAAAAGGTCGTGACCATTGGTGATCTGGTGGGCAAACTGCCGGCGGGCAGCGCCCAGTTGCATGGCATCCACACGGATCAGCGCAACGCGGTCAAACCGGTCAAGCCGCTGGGCTATGGCCCATTTGCCAGCTTTGCGCCGACATTCGATTCGCGCTTCTCCACGCTCAGCGCCGAGGAGACGAAACTAGTGCTGCGCACCTATGGCGATGCCTCCAGCGCCGAGTACGCCGAGAGCATATTGCAGTTTACAAAGGACTCCAGCTACGGTACGAACATAGCCAACGGCCTGCTCGACATTCTCACCAATGGGGAGCACAGCAAATCCCTGGACGAGCTCTACAACATGCAGCTGCACAACTACGAGCAGCGCGAAATTGAGAAGTGCTTCAATAGAAAGCAGGAGCTGGAGCAGCAGCCGGAGACGAGCGCGCAAATCGAGCAGGAGTACGAGAAGTACAAGAACACACGGATGGACTTTAAGCGTTTGCGCTCGCTCAAGGATTTGGGCATTGATGTGGACTTCCTCGACGGCATGGAGACCGATATGAAGAACTTTGAGCTGTCGCGTCGCATGCACGAGCACCTGAACAACAATATGACGCTCATCGAGAAGTTGCGCTTGTTGCAGCAGGAGCGTCTGTCCCAGCCGCTGCCGGCGCATTTGGCTCTGGTGCCGCCCGCTGGGCAGGAGGAATCGCAAACGGCACAGCAACTAACCCAACAGCTTAGCGACTTGGCCAAAAAGCTGCCGCCCTCGGCCATTGCCGATCAATACGCACTGCGCAAGGCCATGGGCATGTCCTTTGGTAGGTATCAGACCATCAAAATAATTTCGTTTCCTGCTAATGCCTTGTCTTTCCATCTTACAGCCGGTTTGCCACCGCCTCCGACAGCATCGCCACGCGTCCAGCTGCCCGAGCTGCTGCAGCAGCCGGTGGCGCTGCCTCTGCTCCAGCCCGTTGCCGTCGGCCATGTGCCCATGGACATTGATGAGCCAGACGTGCACGCTGGCGGCGATCTGGAGAACGAGCTGCGTGAATTTCTCGAAAGCGGCTCCGGCATGCACACCTCCTCCAATCCGGCGGACGATAACAATATTGTCGCCCAGCTGCTGCTAAACTAGAATTCACGATCCTCCATCCAGCACGATTGCCCCGCGCGCAATGTTAATAATACTAGATAACAAACAACGCTAAATTATTTTCATATATATTCGAATCGCACGGCATTTTCAATAAAAAAAAAAGGAGAAACCTAATCTAAGTGAAAACAAAACGGCCCTTTAATTTTAAACATGAACTAATTGCTAGAAACTCACTTCAATGTGAACTAGTTCGATAAGCAATAATCGATCATCGATATTTATTCCGTTAGGATTTTCAAAAAATACCTCAAAAGATAACGAAAAACTTTGAATGAAAATAATATTTAAATTTTAATTGGGTTTCGTTCTAACTCCAAATGAATACGACACGCAAAAAAAAATATATATATAAATTGTATAAATTATAGAATATTATTGCATACAGAGAAAAGCTCAAGAGACTTGAAAAACACATAGTTAATAATTCGATAAGCAATAATCGATTAAGTTATTCCGTTGGGGCTATCAAAATGTAAAATACCTCAGAAGATATCGAAAAACTTTTAATGAAATTAATATTTAAATTTAAATTGGCTTTCGTTCTAAATCATATCAACTCCAAATAAATAAAAATATATAAATCGTGTAAGTTATAGAATATTATTGCATACAGAGAAAAGATCAAGCTTCAAGTAATATTTGTTAAATGAATATACAAAAATAAATTGCAAAAAGTCGGAACTTTAAATTCACATTAGTTAGATGGGTTTTATTTGTTCTTATCAATACAATTTCAATTGTTTCGTTAAGTACACATTTTACAAATTGTTGCAAAATTTAATTAACTACTGGGCATTTATTAGCTTAGTGATTTAATCATTTGAAGGCAAATTCTTAAGAGGTTTTTTCTTTCATATTCATATTTTAAGTACGTTTGCGTGATTAAGTCGAACGCTTTTCGTTTGTTTTTTTAACATGTAAACTTTCATAGAAAAATAAACAGGGCATGTGAATCCATATATATGTAGAGTATACACTATCTATATATATGGTCATGCACATATTTATACAAAAACACACATTAAACGAACCTAGGTAAGTACATACACATACGTACATATATATATATATATATATATATATATACATAAAAAAGAACATTTTAAATGAAATGTACCAAAAGAAAACCTGTGAGCGCATTATTCAACTTTTTGACTTAAGCTAATGAACATTTTAATGGTATTTACTAATTGCACGCACACACAAATTGTTGTTCTTTTTGTTGTTTTTTTTTTGCCATAGTTGTTGTAGTTGTTGCTTCCGCTGAGGTAGAGCACTTTAACGTTTTTTTTTTTGTTTCTTTAAGTTATTTTCCAGTGTTGCTAAATTGATTAAAAGCTAGCGTTCAATTGCGGCCTAACTAGTTCTAGTTCATTTTGTTTTGTTGTTTTTTGGCCACACTTTTTTATATGAGTTTCGTCCATGTTTATGCTAAAATACTAAACAAGATTGGCATCCTTGGCCATGCTGTAGAAGGCCGACTTCGGATCGGCCAGCAGTGCATTCGGCGCGGCAAACTCTGTTATCTGACCCTTATCCAGCACAATGACCTTGTCCGAGTCCAAGATGGTATTCAAGCGATGGGCTATGGTTAGCACGGTGCACTCCCTGAACTCACTGCGTATGGTTTTCTGCAAGGAATGTTAATGTTAGTTAACATGTGGCTTAAATGTATTTTAACATGTTGCTCAGCTCTAAGTGAACATGTGGCTCGAATGTAAGTTAACATGTGGCTCAAATGTAATTTAACATGTGGCTAAAATGTAAGTTAACATGTGGCTCAAATGTAAGTTAACATATGGCTCAAATGAAAGTTAACATGTTGCTCAACTGTAAGTGAACATGTGTCTCAAATGTAAGTTAACATGTAGCTGCCATGTTCTTTAACAGTGCCAAGCTAAACATACCTGTATAAGGTCATCCGTTTCCAGATCCACAGCCGCAGTGGCCTCGTCCAGCACCAGGACCTTGGTCTTTCGCAGCAGCGCACGCGCCAAGCAAACCAATTGACGCTGGCCCACGGACAGATTTTCGCCACCTTCGGAGATTTCGTGATTCAAGCCGGCTGTCAGACTCTTGGCGAATGCCTTCAGATGCGACAATTCCAACGCCTTCCAAAGTTCATCATCGGTCTTAACCTCAAACGGATCGAGATTGGAACGCAACGAGCCGGAGAACAGCACGGGATCCTGCGGTATGATCGTCAGGCGCGAGCGCAGCATATGCAGACCCATGGTGGCAATGTCGATGCCATCAATCAGGATTTTGCCGCCAGCAGACTCGATGATTCTGCAAGAAAAATTGTTGGTAAAATGCAGGATACAAATTTACGAAAAAGAAAAGTAATAGGCGGATATTAACATTTGTGTTATGTGCAGATAACATTGTTGATAACATAATTATGTTATGTTAAGGCTCTGTGATTTTTACTAACATCTTAATGTTAATGTTAATTTGAAGACTTTTTAGAGACTTGTGTTATGTGCATATCTGTCACTGTTGATAGTTGATAACATAAATATGTTATGTTAAGGTTCTGTCATTGTTACTAACATGTTTATACCATTCTAATGTTATGTTAACATTCATTTGAAGACTTTTTATAGATTCTCTTTAACACCGCACTCACTTTAAAATTAGTTCTGTTAACTCACCTGAACAAAGCCAGAGTCAAACTGGATTTTCCGGCACCGGTGCGTCCCACAATGCCCACCTTCTCGCCGCCGTTGATGTTGAAGCTAACGCCGCGCAGTACCAGCTCGAGACCCTCACGGTAGCGCACTTGGAAATCTTTGAATTCGACGCGTCCATCTTCCGGCCAGTTCTTGGGCTTCTTTTTATCCTCGTCCAGCTCCCAGGCAGCCTCCTGCTTCGTTTCGCCATACTCCTTGATGCGCTCCACGGACACAATGTTCGTCTCAATGTCCGAGGACATGCGCACCAGCCAGTTGAGCGTTTGGGTTACCTGCAGCGCATAGCTGACCGATAGACCGACCAGGCCGGGATTCGTTTGGCCGCCCAACACCGCAAAGAGCGAGGCGAACAGAATGATCAGATTTCCAACCATCTCCAGGCGCACGGCGAGCCAACGATTCGCAATCAGTGATGGATACTTGCACACCTGATTCTTGTCCACCTTGTTGTCCGATTCGTCGATGAAGCTGTGCGTGGCAAACAAAAGATGTCGATAATTATCGATAGCTATTCGATCAACAGAAACAGTTGCTGTTTCGATTAATTCTCACCGATCCTGAACCGTGTAGGCGCGTATTGTGGAAGCTCCAGTCACAGTTTCGCCGAAATGCGAATAGATTGGCGATCGGGAAACGGACTCCAGACGCATCAGCTGACGCGACGTGGCCACGTAGAAGCGTTGCGCGAAATAGTAAATAAACGCAATTGGGACAATGACGGCCAGGAAAATGGGCGTCGAAATGCTAATAACCACAATTGTGGCCAGAACCTAACCCAAATATAGCATAACATTATTATCCAGATCTTTGATTGCATATGTCTTTCGTTGTAGGGGGTGCAAGTGTTGTGTGGAGTTAGTTGGAAATCAAATGATAGGAAACTGAAATTGTTCTTGTTAAATTGATGATCGATTCGAGTTCGATACGATTCAATTGCAACGCGTTTTACTTGATTTGAGCCTGAAATCCTAACTAATAATATTCATATTTCCCTAACTGTAAGATACTCAACTTAACAGTGCTGTTAACGTTAACATAATGTTTCCATGGACAATGTTATTGAATGGTTACTCAAATTGGAACATGTTAATAATAATTTCCAAGCAATGCGATTCCTAGAGAATTCCAATTGTCAACTTTTCGATTTAGCGAATCTCGGAATGAAGTCGAAGTGAAGAAGGTTCAAAGAGAAGTTAACAGATCTGTTACAGTTTATCACTTATCTTAAGAGGGGTTAGAGATATCCAGAAAATGGATAACAGAATATGTACATGTTCTGAAACTGAACCCAAAAACACAAACGTACCTAATATATATTTTGGCTTAAAATATATCTATATATTTTATTTTTGAAATTATATTTCTTATTTTTGAAAGGATATATATATATTTTTAAATTATATATTTTTCATTTTTGAAATTATATACTTTTATAATTTTTTTTTAATCCTTGAGCATTTGTATATGAATTAAATTCGAATATTTTCAGAATTATAAGAAATTGGAAAACGAAGCAGAGTTCATTCAAATCATTTTTTAGATATGGTGGAAAACCTTTTCCAACTGAAACAGATCTGTTAGCAATTCTCAGGTATTTAATTTGTGCAATTGATTACAGTTGGGTTTTACCTCAAATGCCAGACACACACAATTGATTATCATAAACGGCAGATATAGTTCAACTACTTGAATGTCTTTCGAGAATCTGGATATAATACGACCCACCGGCGTCGTATCAAAGAACTGTAAGGGCGCATAAAGCATACGTCGCAAGATAAGCTCATGCAATAACTGGGCAGCGCGAAGGCCTCCAAGTGCCGGGAACAATGTTATCATTCCCGATAAAATACCTGGCGATTAACAATTCAATTGAAATTATAAAAAGAGCAGTGTTGCAAAAGTACTGAAAGATGCTTGTGCAGTGCTCCACAACACACGTGAAATTGTAAAATGGAGATTATTAACAATTTGGACTTAAGATTGGTTAGAAGGAATAGAAAAGAATTGGAGAATGAGCTATGATATTTATAAGAAGCATAAACTACAAAATGGAAATAATGGAAATATTCCATTCACATTGGAGGCCTACAAGGATAAAATACCTGTCGATTAACAATGGAGATTCAATTGAGATTATAATAAGGAGCAGTGTTGCAAAAGTACTGAAAGATGCTTGTGCAGTGCTCCACAACACACGTGAAATTGTAAAATGGAGATTATTAACAATTTGGACTTAAGATTGGTTAGAAGGAATAGAAAAGAATTGGAGAATGAGCTATGATATTTATAAGAAGCATAAACTACAAAATGGAAATATTTTATATTCTATCATATTCTTCCTCTTCGTGTGTTACCTCAAAGAGCAGCCAGACAAAACTGAGTATTAGGGACGGCAACAAATGATCGAGCGTATCAATATCTTTCGAGAAACGCGATATTATGCGACCCAGCGGCGTGGTATCAAAGAAATTCAGCGGAGCAGCCGCCACACGATGCAGGAGGAAGGCGTGCAACAATTGGGCCGCACGCAGGCCGCCAATTGTGGGCACCACAAACTTAACGACGGACAAAATAGCTGAAGATTGAACGAATTTGAAAAAAATTTAGTTTTTTTTTTTAACACTGGAGAGCATTTGCTACGAAATTAATTAACACTGATTTCATGCGCAATCATTAGAGTCTCAAACCAAAGCGACAGGTAAAGATTTGATTAGTTTTTGGATTAGTTCAGGGCGGGGCGGGGAATTAATATGATATTTATACAATTATTTGCCAATTCATATTTTTTGTAGCAATTTTGGAACATTTTTGGTAGCCAGTGTTGGGTAGTGCTCGAAAATCAAATTACCTCAAATGCACACCAAAGACAGTCGGTCATGACCTCCACAATTTTCTGATCAACCGTTTCAATGTCTTTGGAGAAACGCGACATTATGCGACCCACCGGCGTGGTATCGTAGAACCACATGGGCACCCGCAGCATACGCAACAGCAACAGCGAATGTAGCACCTGGGCGGCATGCAAGCCACCGAGCTGTATGCCCAGATCCGCAAAGAACGAGGCAATACCTGCGATTTGAATGGTTCATCAGCAGATCGAACAGAGTTTGGAAATTATGTTTGTAGAGTATATAAAGACTAGTTATAGAAAGAGTACAAAGCATGCCCGCTCAGAAAACTATGATATGGTATATATGGTTGTGTATGGTACAGTCATCGACTCGAGGGTTTCTCTTTAAAAAGGTTTCTTCAATTGCTACAAGCTTCGCTTAGATGTATGGAAATTGGTTTAGTAAAAAGTTTGGTTAGTTCTACATTTCTTTTTAGTTATTAGTTTTTGGTGGTTAGTCACGATCACAGTGGGAGACGTACCCGAAAGGCTTGCGAGTTAAAGACACGTAATAATTCAGGCAAAACCATATCCAATTTGTACACATCGTTGGCCAATCGATCGAGTATGCGTGCCCTGGGCTGTATATCGAAAAAGGACTGTGGGGCGCCCAAAATGCGCCTAAATAGCAGGCAAAACAATTTCTGTGCCCCAATCAGACCGCCAATATACACGATTAGCACGGCGGCTATATTGCTAATAACTGGAATAGTTCAGGTTAACGTTAGGCAATTGGGACATAACAGGTGTGAGGTTAAGAACGAATCAACTTTCTTTTTGTTAGGTTATGAATAAAACAAATGTTTATTTACAAAGACTGCGCTTTGAGCTTGAACAGGCTTAGGCCTATTTTAGTGTGTGTTAATTGATTGAGGCATACAAGGCCTAGTTCACAAACTATAACGAAATACAGCATATTTTACAGCGTACTAACATAGGAAAAAAGAACCAGTTCCGAAGCGGAACATGATGAATACGGTGCTGTACCTAGCTCCAATTAGAAAGTACAGTACCGTAAAAGGGACAAAGACAAAAGTGACAGAAACAACAATTATGTTTGGAAGGCCGAAGTGGAAACACCCTAACAGGCAGATAGAAAATATATTTCTATGTTAATCATTTTATGTAAATTGTAGAAAAATAAAATGATTTTTAAAAGCTAAATATTTGTTCAGACGAAAACCTAATTTTAGATCTTCTATAAAAGCTTTAAGATATAGTAGTACGATCTAAAAGAGATTTCACTTTTTGAGATAATGGTAAGAAATTAAGTACTTCAAAGAAAGCCCAAGTATTCAATAATTCTGTAGAATAATAATATGCCGAAAATTCTTACAGAACCTTTATAAAATTACGATATATATGTGATTTTTTTTTTGAGAATCGCAAATTTGTTTTTCCATGCCTTAAACGAAACATAACTAAGTAATTGTGTAGTAAATGTACAAAACTGCAAAAAAATACCCTGCCAATTCAACTGAAAAGTAAGGTGCAAATTCATGGCCTTTTCCGGTTTGCGGCTTTCGGGACTAGATTCCGATATTTATGAGAAGCTTTTTTTGTTGTAGAATCGGAGGTTATCTTTTTCTATACTTTAAACGAAACGTGACAAAGTGAATACGCAGAAATCAAAAATACACTTCCAATCTAACTGAAAAGTAAGGTAAAAGTTCAGGGGTTTAGGGCTAGATATTCCGATATATATGAGTCGATTTTTTTGTTGTCGAAACGGAGATGTGTTTTCTCCATGCGTTAAACAAAACGTGACAAAATAATAATGCAGAAAAAGTGCAAAACTACAAAATCAAAAACTTCTCTTCCAATTCAACTGAAAAGTAAGGTGCAAATTCATGGCCTTTCCGGTTTACGGCTTGGGGCTAGATTCCGATTTTCATCAGATGCTTTTTTTTTTAGAATCGGAGTTTGTCTTTTTCTTATACATTAAGCGAAACGTAACAAAGTGAATATGCAGAAATAAAAATACACTTCTAATTCAACTGAAAAGTAAGGTGCAAATTCATGGCCTTTCCGGCTTGAGCCTTTCGGGGGGAGGGGGGGCTGTCTGGTTACCTGAAACGCTGTGCTCAGGCACATGCGTATATTTAGGGGCATGATCATGTCCAGGCTGTTGATGTCGTTGGAACAGCGATCCAAGATGCGGCCCTTGGGCGTCGTATCGAAAAACTCGGATGGGCAATGCATGAGATTGTTAAAGAGCTGTCGAAACACTTTGAATGAGGCGTTAAGGGAGGATGTGAAGAGTGTGATCGCGGCGCCGTAATTGCCGAGACCTGCAGCGTAAATGTGTGAATGCGTGAAAAAGAGAACGTTAGGTGGAATTGAGAAATGGAGACAGGAGTTTTTTTTGGTACATGATGTGTCAAAGAGATCTACAAACTAGGTAATAAAACCAAGTACAAACCGTAACTCAAGTGGGCTACAACAAAACAAAACTCAAAAGAGAGGGGGAGAGAGAGAGAGAGAGAAATAAAATGTATAAGAAAATACCATAAATATAAAGGTCATGAAGGAGTCCACGGTGGCGGGCAGTTCCTCGTCGATAACATCCATATCGGCGCTGAAACTGTTCAAGATGCGCCCGAGGGGCGTTATATCGAAAAAGCGACAAACCGAGCCGCGGATCACCTGGTTGAGCAGCTGGTTGTGCAATGTTTTTGCGGCCTTCAAGCCGCCGCAGTAGACAATCACGACCGCAATGTAGGCAAACACACCTGCACGCAAACGGAACGGAACGGCATGGAATGGAATGCGCAACCGATAGGCGCGAGCAAAAGAATATATCGATAAATATTAAATGGCATTAACAGTTAATAAGTGTAATGCGAATCGAAAAATGGGCGCGCCTTTATCACTAGGTATACTTAGGTATATCCAAATAAACCCCCCGTTAAACCAGGAACCCTGCCCAAGCCAAGGCTGTCAAACTCTAAACGATATTAATCGGCTTTAATAATCGATAGGCGTAATCGTTAGGGCTCTGAGACAGGCGCCTTCTCAGAGTGGGTTTTTTTAGTTGAGCATAAAAATAATATAATAACAAAATTAAAGCAAAGCACAAAAAGAAAAGAAAACTCAATTATATTTGAGGTTAGAACTCAGATCAAGTAAATGCGTTTCAGTTTCCGATGTTTGCAAAATGTGAAAATTATGATAATGTGATTGGTTCTAAGTCTAGTTCTAGCTTTTATTAGTGGATGTGCAGCTGTTTTTGAGGTTAGAAAAAGTTGTACAAACAAAAAAAGGAGCGAAGGGGGATTTTCGAAATTTTGGTGCTTGTGCTGGGTTTTGTTTTTGTTGTTGGGATTATTCTTAAAATAAGTTTACCGAATAGCACGTGGACAGAAACTGAGACAATATTTGGGGCAGCACATTGTCCATCGTGTCAATATCCTTGGAAAAGCGACTGAGTATACGACCCAAAGGCGTCGTATCGAACAAATCCATCGGCCATTTGAGAACCAGGCGTATCAGCTTGGTGAACACGTCCAGGGAGCAGTGCAGGGTGCCCATGGCCAGGGCTAGGCCCGACAAATAACGCGACACAACTGCATCGAGCGTAAAGTTATTGAGCTACCTCATCAAAAATTGCTTAACATCTATTATATTTATATATATATATATCACAGAGGGGTTATAGCTTAACAGTGGGGAGGACCCAAACGTGCTGTGCATGCGAGCATTACGTCTAGTTAAAGTAGTTAAGGGCATCTAAATACTATATATACACAGAGGTTTAGATAACAGCGCCCGCCGATAATTACATAGTTAGATATATATACAAGATCGAGGTACGTAGAGTTTATTAGTTGCAGCGGACACAGGACTGGGTTTTATTAATGGCTCTTTCTTGGGAATACTAAGTGGCTCTGAAGAGGACAATCATGAGAATAAATTCTATTCAATTCGGAAAAGAAAAGAAAATAAGAAAATCTGTTAAAAACTCCTAACCTTACAAAATTTTTAAAGAATTCCTAGCCTCAAACAATTTATGAAGAACTCCTAACCTCAAAAAATCTTTAAAGAACTCCTAACCTCAATTAATCAATAAACTCCTAACCTCTAAAAATCTATAAGGAACTGCTAACATCAAAAAATCTACATAGAACCCCTAACCTCAAAAAATCTATAAAACACTCCTTACCTCAACTAATCGATAAATAACTCCTAACCTCAAAAAATCTATTAAAAACTCCTAACCTTACAAAATTTTTAAAGAATTCCTAGCCTCAAACAATCTATAAAGAACTCCTAACCTCAAAAAATCTATAAAACACTCCTAACCTCAAAAAATCTATAAGGAACTGCTAACATCAAAAAATCTATATAGAACTCCTAACCTCAAAAAATCTATAAAACACATCTTACCTTAACTAATCAATAAAGAACTCCAAACCTCTAAAAATCTATAAAGAATTCCTAGCCTCAAAAAATCTATAAGGAACTGCTAACCTCAAAAAATCTATATAGAACTCATAGCCTCAACTAATCAATAAACTCTAACCTCAAAAAATATGTAAAGAACTCCTAACATCAAAACACAGTGGGTTAGTTTTAATATTTCTTATGACAAAGTTTGCCGAGATTATTATAATCTAGAAAATTCAAGTAAATATGTTATATATCTCTAATTTTGATTCAATATAAAAAAACAGTGTAATACAAAATGCTGTATCCCTGGAAAATCTCACTTAATCTCAAAGTACAGTGGGCTAAAGCCTTCAAATTCGAATTAAAATAATTGTTAAACTATATTAATAAAAAGCCAAGCTATTAAGGCTACGGTTAAGTTTTAAGAACTATATAAAAGATCTTGAGAATACTTTACAAAATTTGGCTAGATATTTTTTTATGACTTAAAGTACGGTGGGACAGTCTCAACATTGAAGTACAGTGGAACAGTCTATAAGTTCTAGTTGACATTAAGGTAAGGTATATAAAGGTAAGAGACTGAGAAATGGGAAATAAACACGAACTGATATAAAGGTCTACTCTTTAAGCTGTTATACAGAACCCTTTCTAAATTTCTCAATATAAATGTCTTCTATTTTAACTGTTATATGGAACCCTCACTAAAATTCCCAACTAATCTCGAAAAGTACAGTTGTGTTTGTTTTGTATTTTGGTGTTTGGTGTGAAAAAATGTTGCGAAATTTACCGCAATTGCGCAAAATAGTACAACGCGCAGTAGCATGGGCAATGTGGCATCAACAACATGAATATCTTTCGAGAAACGATTCAAAATTCTGCCCTGCGGCGTCGTCTCGAACAGTTCCATGGGCCAGTGTAAAACACTTGACAGAAGTTGCGCATGAATCGCGATCGCGCACCTGACGCAACCGATCGCCAGCACCAGGGAGGAGCCCATATACGCGAGCACTATGTGAGGGAGGTAGGTTTAAATAGGATATGTGCATGGATACAAAATAGAACTAACTACAAATCTAAAACGCGGACGTTATAAAAGCAGTCTCTAAGAGAGCCCACAACAGCTCAACTCGATGCAAAGCCAGAAGGTAATACCCCTAATGTCTGTAAAATTGTATTTTAGGTGGACCTCCGGAGATTTTAAGAGACAAAATATAGAGTAAAAGGTTCTGTACTGGAATTCTTATGGAGAAATTTACTCAATATTTTAATCTACAAAAATATCCCAACTTTTAATAAGGTGGGATGGAAGAAACTACAAAAAAATATGTAGAAGCAGTCTCTAAGAGAGCCCACAACAGCTCAACTCGATGCAAAGTCAGAAGGTAATACCCCTAATGTCTGAGAATTTTATATTGAGGAGCTTCTCCTGAGATATGAACTGACAAAATAAAGAGTCAACTTTTAGATCAGATCAGATCAGAGCAGAGCAGAGAATTCGGGAATTCGTATGGACAAATTTACTGAATATGGAAGAAGCTACATAAAAAATTAAAGGAGCAGTCTCTAAGAGAACGTGCAGCTAAAACCCTGGGAGAATAGTCACGGCTGAAAGCCCGCCCCTTAAATGAAGGATGGTAACAAATTGGGAATTACCGCAAAGAGTTGCGAAATAGCCACGCGCAGATTGAGCGGCAGGGTATTGTCACAGGTGTCGACATCCTTGGAGAAGCGGTTGACAACGCGTCCTTGAGGCGTGATATCAAACAGCTCCATGGGCCAGCGCAGGACAAAGTGCACAAGAGTCTCGTGCAAATATGCGGCGCTATAAATGCAGCCCAGGGAGAGGGCAAGGTTCGAAAAGAAACTGGTAGCAACTGCAGTTGGGGACGAGGTTCAAAAGGTTCACAGTTAGTAATACAACAAAAGAAACGGAAAACAGACAGATATTAATGTATGTTAGGTCACAGAGAGATCTTATGAATGAATGGTTAAGTACGTAGGTCTGTTATCGAATGGGTTTACCATAAATGCCTGCAGGACGTCACGTATATTGAATGACAATTACGTTATCGATAGTATCGATTAACTATGGTATCGATTAATTGTGGTATCGACTATTAACAATGCGACCCTTTGATGTGGATGGGACTTGCACTGAATTGATTTTGGAATTGGAAACTGATTATAACAGGTAAAATAAAAAAATATTAAATTTATCAATTCTCCACACCTTAAAATAAATCGATAAATTGTCTATCGAAGATCTTTAATCCTAATCAGAAGTAACAGTTAAAGTAAAGTAAATCCCTCCTGTCATATCTGAGAACTATATTTTAGCTGAAGGTCCTCAGATGTCAAGTGAAAAAATATAGTCAAAGTATAAAAACAAGGAAAAAAGGAAAGGAATTTTAACTTATCCTAAACTCAAGGTACAGTTGCTTCCTTAAAGCCCGCCCCTTAATGGAAATTGAGATTTACCGCAAAGAACTGTGAAACAGATGCGCGCAGATTTTGCGGCAGTGTATTATCACAGGTATCGACATCCTTGGAGAAACGGTTGACAACGCGACCCAGGGGCGTCATGTCAAACAGTTCCATGGGCCAGCGAAAAACCGAATGCAGTACAGTCTCGTGCAAATATGCGGCGCTATATATGCAGCCCAGGGACAGGGCAAGGGTCGAAAAGAAACTGGTCGCAACTGTAGTTGGGGGGGGGATAAGTTCGGTTAGTACTACGAAAAAAAAAAAAAAACAAAAACAAAAAGAGACAGAGGCGTGCTTAAGCCTAGCAAAATGTCACCGTTATGAATGATAGATAGATCGAATGTTCCGGATAGAGCTTATGAGTGGTGCAGAGGGGTTAAGTACGTTAGTAAGTTGTTAGAATCGTGGGTAGAGATCAATCAGACGGTCGGTCATCGAAATTGTTTACCATGAATGCCTGCATCATGACCACGCGTATATTGAATGGCAGCACGTTATCGATAGTATCGATATCTTTCGAAAATCGATTAACGATGCGTCCCAGCGGTGTCGTATCGAACAGCTCCATCGGCCAGCGCAAATTCGAGTGCAATAGACTGTTATGCAGTATGCGCGAGCACTGAAGGCCGCCCAAAGAGACCGCGAGCGATGAGAAAAATGTCGATCCGACTACAAATTTTTTTCGTACGGTCGGTCATCGTTTTTGTAGGATAGCGGTTTAAGGGAAAAGGGGGTAATACAAAACACACACAGATTTAAAATTTTGTAAACATAATTTGGATATAATTAAATTGCATTAATTGCAATAACACGAAAGCAACTTGTTAACACAGTTGTGGAATATTATTAGGCATGCTCTGAATTGAAGTTGGAATTGTACTTTTGAAATAAAAAAGGTTTAACTTGCATATAAGAAACCCTTCATTGAAAGCTGAATTTTGATAGTCAAAAAGAAAATGGAGAAATTAAGAAATAGGAAGAATAATATTTTAAAAAAATCTTAAGGGAATTCAAAAGTGTTTAAATATTCTATAAAAATATATAGAAAATAATTTTAAATGCAAGGAAGATTTAAATTTTTTGATGTTCCCATTTAGAAGCGACCACTATTTATTAAAAATTTTATTTTTTATGGCTTAAATTATTATCGCTGTTTCAAAAATGATTTTCTCTTGACAGTTATCGAAAAGTTGTCGAACTATCGAAATCGTGACGAGCATTTTTTTCGCTGTTTCAAATATGATTGTCTCTTGACAGTTATCGAACTATCGAAATCATGCATTTTTCCCATTCATTTCATGCCTAATTGAACATATTTTGTGTGCTGAGCAAATTACTAAGTGTTATCTATATAATTGTTAGCCATATAATAAGTTGTGTACATAGATCTAGTGTGTTTGTCAATATCAATCTTGTTAGTTGGTTGTTGGTCGGACAGAAAGATGATGAAGGTTGAGGTTGAGGCGCAGACTATTTGTTTGTCAGCGACTTTTCGAGGCGTGATTTGGCGGGCAAACGTAAAAAGCAACACATAAAATTAAATACAACCAAATACCATAAAAAATACACAAAAGATAAAATGCCAGAAAAGCAGATAATAACGCCAGGAAATTTAACACTGTTTCATTTAAAATGTTCCACAGAAAGGCACAGCATAAAATGATAGGCATGTATACTAGTGTTTCATTCCATTCGTTCCACACGAAATTTTCAGCGATTTGATCTGCTTTTCCGGCAAATTATTTAAAAACTTATAACTAAAAGCATAACATTAAACGAAAAGGCAAACATTAAACGAAAATGAAACGACAACATAAAAGCTACATAAATGCGACAAAACGAACATGAATATAATTACGAACTGAATCACAATGAGCTCACCTTGACCGAAACCGAAGGCGCCGTAGACACCCAAGTACATATTCCTGAGGCCCGTGTCGTGCTCGACGGCCTTGTCGTTGGACCATTGTGTGAGCCACAGATTGGAACCGATTTGGAAGGCTTGGAACACAAAGTTCAGCACCAAAGTGGCAATCGATAAGAATATGCCAACGCTTTTGATATAATGCTTGTAGACGGCAAAGTCGACGCCGCCCGTTTGCGATTTCTCCGTCTCGATCAGTTTGCCTTCGACCTCTTGTTTCTTTTTCAGCGAGGCGGCGGATGCATTCGAATCGTACGAGTTCTGGCGCTTGGCGCGGCGACGCAGACTGCCACCCATCAAGCTGTCGGCGGAGGTGACAGAGCTGCAGAAAAATATACAAAAACAAACAACTTTAGTCAAGATCTCAGAGATTAGTCGGGGGCCACAACTCACATCGAGTCCGAGAGACTTTCGGTGCGCGCCAGGAGAATGGCCTTCTCGAAGGGTGCCACCAGAGCGGGATCGGTTTGCGATAGCTGACGTTTGATTTGATTAAGCTCCTCTTCCTCCTCCTCGCCCTCTTGCAGATGCTGCATCAGGAAGTCGGCAAAGGCGCCCCGGTTCTTTAGCAGCTCAGCGTACGTGCCATTCTCGCTAATCTCGCCCATTTTCATCACATAAATCTTATCGGTCTGGGGCAGGAACGTGATGCCGTGTGTAACCAGGACACGTGTCTTTTTGGCCAGCATGCCCTTCGGTCCGATCACCTCCTCGAAGATGTGTTTGCCCACATGCGCATCGACCGCGCTCAGCGGATCGTCCAGCAGATACAGGTCCGCATCGTGATAAACGGCGCGCGCCAACGAGATGCGCTGCTTCTGGCCGCCGGACAAATTGATGCCCTTCTCGCCGATTTCGGTCAGATCGCCGGCGGAGAGTATCTCGATATCGGTGCGCAAAGCGCAGGCATCGATCACCTTATTATAACGCTTGCGATCGTACGGCTTGCCGAACAATATATTGTCCCGCACGGTCGCGTTCTGGATCCAGGCCTGTTGCGGCACATATGCCATTTTGCCGACCGTGTTGACCGTGCCCGAGATTTTCTCCATTTCGCCAAGGAGTGCTTGTATCACCGAGGACTTACCGGAACCGACGGTGCCAACAATGGCAACCAGATTATTTTTGGGCACCTGCATGTTTATATTCTTGAGCGTCGTCTCGTCCTCATCGCCCCACGAAAAGTGGCCATTCTCAATGCTCATGGGATGCGCTAAAAATATTTCATAATTATTTTATTTGATTTGGCCTTTTTGTCGGTCGGATCTACTCACGCTTTGAGGAATCATGTTGCACATTGTTAGGGTCCAGCTCTTCACTGTTCAGGAATTTGTTTATACGTTGGACAGAAACTTGCGTCTATGCGAGGAGGAAATCGATTAGAAATCTTTTGATCGTTATGCAACACTGTTGTCAACACACAGGTTACAGTTAGCATTAGTTGTTGGTATGGTGGGATGTTCGGAAAGGATTCGATAAGCTCTTAGGTACTTTAAATATTTCGTAGTCTCCCAAGATTAGAACAAAAACTCGGCCTGCCGAAACTTCTGTACCCTTGCAGAACTTTGGGTATTCAATGGATGATGTCTATAAAAAGACGAACCCTCAATTCTCCTTATTACATAAGATACTCAGATAGAAACTGATCAGATTTTTGGATAACTACATTAAGGCAAAAATTGTATATTAAATTTTAATAATATATGATCCTGAAGGTAAGAAAATGAAAGAAAAGTATTAATAAATTTTAACGATCGGACAATATTCACCAAAGTTTATTTAGGATTAAATCTTTGAAAATACCCTCTGCAAGGGTATGCAAATGTAAAACTAAACTGAATGAAGGATGTTGAAGAAACGAATAGAAAATGTAGCCCAAAGCCTTTGCTGCCGCTTTCTAAAGAAATGCCCCATCAAATTGTCAAAACTATTTGTAGCACAGGACATTTCGATGATGTATGAAAACCCATTAAAAAACCATTTAAAAAAAAAGTGAAACTATTTTAAAGAAGTTGAGGATAGTTAGGAAAATTGTAGTGTAGGGTTAGATTTGGATATATATATAATTGTCATTCGTTGCTGTAGCTAAATAAAATAATAATTATAATAATCAATAATAGTTGAACATAAATTACAATCACAATACGGCACAAGGGAACAATTCACAGTGTGAACTGTACCAAAATGTTCTCCCACTTTCAGCCAGATACGATCTGATATCGAGCTGAAAGCTGGAAGATATTTTGAATTGAAATTGCAATATGGTAAACTTACTTGCACCAAGTTGGTGATCAGCATGGGCAACATGGTTAACGGAAAACGAAGTATGTTGAATAATGATAATGAGACAAAGGTTTTTTTCGCATCGAGCACATTGTTTTCATCGATTAGAACATATGTGGCAAATGTGACTAATGATACCTAGAAAAATATAGTAATTCGTATTTGGGTTATTTTTTGTTTTTGCATTGTTTTTCTGGAAATTTCGGGTGTGTGCCGATAGATGCCCATAGCCGAAGTAAATGTGTCGATATATAATCTAGATGCCGTTTGATCCGTTTGCCGCGGTCTTTACCTCGGCTATGTCAACCGTCAGCATGGGTATTATGGTCAACGGCAGTTTCATGATATCGAACAGTGCGAGACTGACAAAGACCTTCTCGACGCTCAGCTGATTCGCCTCGTTGGACAACAGGTAAGTGGCAAATGTCACCAAGGATACCTTATTTTTGTTTTTTTTGTGATTTTTGTAATTTTGTTTTTTTTACATTTTTTTTTTTTTTTTTTTGGACAAGATAATAGACACAGATTCCAGGATTAGAGCACGTCCCATAAACGTCAAGTGCTGCAAAGAGAGTTCAAAGCGGCGCCAATTGCCTGGCAATTCTTACCAAAAACGGCGCACAGGACCACAGAAAGGATGTGCTGGCATTCAAGTAGGCGGTCGCGCGCAGTGTGGCTATTTCCTTATCACGTATGTCCAGCACCTGCTTCTCGAAACTGGGCTCCCAAGCGTACAATTTCAGCACCTGCAATGGAAGTTAATGAAGTCAAAAGGAAGTAGCTGCTAGGGCTCTGGGCTCACACTCACCTTAATGCCACTGAGGACCTCGTTCATGAGCTTGACACGCTCGTCCTTGTACTTCATTTGGCGTATTTGATAGGTCTTGATGCGGCTGGCAATGAAGCCGTTGAGCGGAATCATGATGATCATCACGGCGAGACCGGCCAGCACGGATGGACCCAGCTGCTGCCAGAGGAAGTAGAGGGCCAGTGCGATTTGCAGTGGCGCCGACCACAACATGTTCAGATAGGTGGTCAGATCCATGAAACGTTGCGCGTCGACAGCCATTAGATTGACAATTTCACCGACTGTGGACGCTTTGCGGGCGGCATTCGAAATGCGCATCGCCTTGCGGTAGATGCAGTTGATCAGCGCTGTCCTGATGCGCAGGCCCACAATAAACATGCGATGGAAATACTGAGCGAGTATAAAGGTCTGTGCGCTGGCCAGCACAAACAATAGTATCGAATACATGATGCCCTTCCATTCCGGCTGCGGTACCCCCGCAAAGTCCTCCACATAGCCAATGATCAGGCTGAGCACTTGCGGCTGGGCAAAGGTCAAAACATCGGTGATCAGCTTGAAGAACGAGCCGAATAGGAAAATTCCACCAAAGGATCTGTAAATGGGCGGCATAATGCTGGCCATGCCCTTCTTGCGGCCATTGGTCTGAGGATTCTCAAACGAGACCTTGCCATTGCTAAACTGCGCCTTCGGCTCCTGACCGCCGCTGGCTCGCTTGTAGTTCTTGCGCACATTCTTGTTCCAATAATGCGCAAAGGTGGGCATCACCTCCTTGCAGCTATCCTGCGGCCGCAAATCCCACAGATCCTTCTCCTCCAGCGGATTGCGATAGCCCTTCAGGGCCATCCGATCGAACCAACTGTACGTGATGCGCGACAGAAAACTGGCCGAGAGTTCGGGTATCTCTTTGGGTCCACGCTTGTACTTGGTCTGCCTGGGCAGCTGGTCGGCAAAACAGTTGAGGATCAGCATCAAGCAGGTAAAGGCAAAGAATATAAAGAAGCTGGCAAACTGATATGTCTCCCAGGTGAAATCGTGCGGCTCCGCCTGTTGGGAGCCAATTATCTGATTGCGCTCCTGATGCAAGCGTGCCTCGGTCCGACAGCGTGGTATGGAGAACAGTGTCAATATAAACCAGAACATGAACTGGCAGCCAGATGTCTGAACGCCATACTTGCGATTCAGCGGTATGAACATCAGTACCATCAGCTGCAATTGGAAAAGTTTATAGTCTATGGAACAAGTCAAGTATTGCGCGGCTTACAAAGGTGAGCAATTTGATGACGGGTGTCCAAATGTCCACGCCATATAGCGGCAATTCGGAGTCGCCGCCCTTCTTGACAAACGCCATGATCAGATCCAAGGCGGTGACCACCAGGAGACCCACATTTACGAGCAGTTTGCTTATGTTCAATCTGTTCCATGGTATGTTCTTATCTAAGCTGGCCTTCAAATACCAAAAATCGAATAGCATAAATAGCCAAAAGAAGGCACAGGGTGCCCAAACTAGAACTGTTTGCTCGAAACAGGGTGTAAAATCTGGATCTGTTGTCCACCACGTCTCATTGGCATCCTGTTAAAAAATAATGTGCGTTAATTGGGCGTGAAATAAAGCATTTGTCTCTCGCACTCACCCAGAATGTGGAGCCGCAAAACTCGTCCATGGACGAAAAGGCAGTATCGTCTCCCATGGTCGAGTTTTGGCCTTCAACTTTTTGTGTAAGCACTCCTCCACGTGCGTGTCTGTGGGCAAAACGAAACTGTGAAACATGTAAAAAAAAAAATTGTACTATGCAAAAACAGCTGGTTTATTTCACAACACAAGAAGAAGCATTGAAAACAAGAAAATAAAAAAAATAAAAAAACGATAACGATAAAATTTACCAGACGACACAACATTGAATAACCAGTGTTGCCAATTTAGCTGAAAATACGTCAGATCTGGCATATTCAGAGGAACAACTAGTTGATACTCCTTTTTTAGCGGTGCCTTCGTTCGGCATACGAAATGCGTATCATTGTTAATTATGTCCATTAATTTGGGAACGAAGTGAATCATTTAAGGAATTCGGTAAAAATGAAATCGATTTGTTGTACTCGTACTGAAGAAAATCATATTCAACATATAAAAGTAAAATGAATATTAAACCCTAAGTATATGGAATGTTGTACAGCAATATAAATTGAGTTATTTCCGATGCTGCTTACCTTTTAATATATATGTAGGTTTAAAATTTTCATATCACGACAGGTTAGATGTTGTACTGGCTGGTTTTTATAATTTCAGCTATTTTTAGCTATTTTTATTTATACTCAGTTCATCTCTCTTTATGCTCATTTCATCGATAGTTTTGCAAAACGGCATTAACAGCACTGCCAATGTTATCGCATTTACGACTTATCGTTTGGCAACCCTGCATGGCACTTTGCGTGTGCCGAATGATAAAAAAATACACTTTGCCTGTCAGAAAATATAATAATAGTCAAGTAAATAGAAATAAAGGTCTATTTACTGTTTTATAAACTTGAATTTGAATTGAATACAAAGGCGCAATAATGTCGCGCCGCAGCAACTTTATCGAGGGCAACGACAACTTTCGCGAACAGAATTTGCGCTTTGTAAGGGTGAGTAAAAAAGCACAAAAAAGCGCAATTATAAATAATAACATGCGTTTCCAAATTGATAACTGTAGAACGAGTTTGAAGAAAATATAAATCAATTCTTTGGCTCGGACACGGCCGGCACAGTTCCAACTGGCAATGGAGGAGCACCGCCGCGCGATTCTATTATTGTACAACCGACGCCCGGTAAGTGCCTCCACTTGGCTTAATCTGGCAATTGTTGTGGTCCGTGCATCACAATTGCTATTTGTTAAGTCTTTTTAATTTTATCAGTACCTATAACTGCTTATCTGCGCGATACGCGTCACAAACGATCCATGTCGATCGCTGACACATGGTTTCCCCCACCAGTCGAGTGCGTTTAATTTGTTTTGAAGTGTGTTTCCAAGCGTATATTTAATTTGACCGCTGTCATTACGAATTCCCAGCAAACAATCAGTTTGATTAAAGTCTTCACTACTTAGTGCCTGCATGTATATAAATTTTTATAAATATTTATACTTCTAGCTGTTTTATGAAACCAGTTTTGCGTCTGGCCCACACTTGATCTTTAACAATGCCATATTTATTGATCTATGCCTGATGCGAAAACGAGTTTGTTTGTGTTTTAGTATAAAATGTTAAAATAAGAAACTAAATTTTAATAATTGCTAAAGCACCGCTGGCCAAATACTCTAATGAATTGCGTGACTGCAATTAGTGTTTCCCGGAATTCGAATTATTTACAAACTCGTTTTCCCTTGACGCTTTGAATCTGGGCTATAATGCTGAGAACTTTTGGGAAAAAGTATCAAGTAGATATTTTTCGAAAATAGTTAAAACTCGGCTTGAATCCATAATATACATTATCCCCCATTCAAACTAATTACAACTTACAGCGAGATTAAACATATCAAATTGTAACCAGGCAATTAGAATTCGAATTCATTTGGAATTCGAGATAAGCTCGGTTGCAGGCCGGCTGACGAATTAATTATACTCTAACCAAGGTTAAAGTAAACAAAAACGAGTCTTTTTTTTCGTTCGGATAAAACATTTGTAATTAATGGCAAACCTGTTCCGGCGACTATTCAAAGTTATGTAATAGAATCAAATATCTAATTTTGTGCGCCAAACGGAAAGAAAAAAAAAAAAAACAAGATGGTGTTAAGTACGACGAATGCAGAAATATTCACATTTTAGTTGAATATTCTGCGAGTCATCGTGATGCTGCTCTGCTGTTGATTTCCAGAAAAGGGCAGAGGAACACACTGATAAAAAGAAAAAATGTCAGAAAAGTCCAATATTGAACTTGTCACTTTTCGGGCACAATAAACATTATATATTGTATATATATAGATGTATATATATATAGCATATTATAAATAATTTTATACTCTGTTCGTAAGATTAAAAAGAGTTTATTGGTTCGTCCCAGCTTCGCTAGGAAAAGTCTTATTGTGCCACAGTCAGTTTTGGAGTCAACAAATTTATTATTCTTCACACTTTGAAAGTCACTGAGACAATCGGTTTCAGTTTTAAAACTAAGAGCTAAGTGAAGATTTAATACTGTGAAACCTTACAGTTTGAAAGTCATTGCGAAAGTGTATCTTAAACCGTTTAAAGAGTCCATAAAATAATGTTGCTCACTCACACAAATCGCAAAAATCGATTTTAATTAACTTTACAGTTTGAAGATCACTGTCTTTGGCTTACAGTTGCAGAGTAACTAAGCACATTAACACGCTTTTCTATCTCTCCAGACTATATTACACAGTTTGAGTATAAGCGAACGGTTCACAGTTAACCAGCCACATAGCGAATAAACAAAAAGCAGAGCATTGCGCAGTCGGTTGCAGTCGATGCAACATATTCAAGTGTTATTTATGACTTGATTGTCTTTGGACATTATCGCTGCACTTGCCATTTATTAGCTATCACTTGCTCGACTTTATCGGCCGCTCTCTTTTGGGGTTTTTGTTTTCGCGGTTCCCTTTGTTTACTGTGTCCTTTCACAGGATTGCACAAACTTTGTTATCATTATCTTCCAAGTTGTTTCTGAGACGTGCGCGCGGCAACGCGTTGTTATCATTTACAGGCCCAAGTACGCGCACACGCACACACATACTTTTAACTACTGTTGTATACACATACATACATACCAAAAAATATATTATTTCTGTTTACTGTTGTTTTAGTTTTGAATTGCACTTTATAGTTTTATTGTTCTTGCTTATCGCGCTTGTTTATAATAGCTACGTGCGTGCGTGTGCGTGCCTGCACATGTGTGTGCGTGCGTGTCTCTCTCTCTCTCTCTCTCTCTCTCTATTTCTGTAGGCCGCTTCTCAGGGCCCTTTTTTGGGGAAATAATCGACAGTTGGGCTTAAGTTGTGACGTCATCGTATCAGGTTTTGCCCACAAATTGTTCTAACTGTTCGCAACATAGTAGCACACACACACAAACACATATCTTTTATGCAAATAAATCATATAATAGTTCTGTGTTAATTCAGTTTGGCGTTATCAATTATAAAATCACACTGAGCATGACCAAACAGAACACAAACACACAATTTGCCAATTATCAAAATTATTGCCAGATCTTTTTAATGATTCATAGAAAATCGTTAGAAATAATTTCTCAGTGGAAACCCTTCTAGAACGTGCGTGGGCATTTCACAATGTGTGTCAAATAACTTTCGTTCGCACTTGTTACGCTTGCGGGCGCCCGAATGACAACAACAACAACATCAACAATGAAAACAACAAACACCACACCAATAAAAGCCACTTATAATTACCTCGGCGAAATAAAGTGACGTACCAAAATGCTGCTGCTATTGTTGCTGGGTTGTGTGATTTGCCGGCAATTTTTTTTTTTCTAATATTCCTTCGACCGGCTCGTGTCGAGCTAACAAAACCAACTGAATGCCAGACGCACAGCCCAGCGGCACTTATTTGTTTCTATTTGAAGCGCTCCCACACCAATACCAATGCAACCCGTTTAATCAAGAGCTGGCAAAGCACACCGTAGTCAAAACGTGCACACTTGCTGCCTTTCCCACACATATGTACATACCGACTCTCTCGCTCTCTTTCTCTCTGCTGATTTGGCTCGCTGTTCTCTTTTGTTTGATCAATGAAAAGCTGTGCAGCTTAAGCCAGACTTGGGCTCGTCAAACACACAGCAAAGCTGGTCACACTGCCAAGCTTGCTGAGCCTTTGGCAATTTAAGTTTTGCGCGCGCACACACACACGAGTGCCTAATTGACAAGTCATTGCTCATCGGCATTTTAACGCGCGCTCTTAAAGATAGTGCTAAGGCCCCCCAAAGAGCGAGGGCAAAAGAGAGGGAGAGAGATAAGAGCGCGCGCGATAAAACAACACAAATTATATTTCTGATGAAATAAGCAAACAATAAGCATACAATATACACACCTATGTATGTATATACATATGTACGTAGCAAATGTATGCAATTTACAATGTTAACAGTTCTGGAAATAACAGCGACGTTTGACTCATGACATGTGTCAAAAACAACAGAGAACAATTTTTGAACATCACGCACATGTTGACAGCGAAAGTGTTGAGTATTGTTTACAGAGATAAAAAACCCCATATAAACATATGCTCAACTTAAAACCAAATAAACGGGTGGCAAAAAAAAAAATACAAAAAAAAAACAAAAACAGAACTCATGCACACTCAACACGGCACTCTTTACATAAACCAAAGAGTCAAGTGCGAGTTGCTTGTGTGTGTGTGTGTGTGTGCGTGTGTGTGCGTGCGTGCATGTGTGTTGATTTTAATCAAAGTGTCTCAATTTTCTTTACATGTCTCTTTTTCTCATGCAAAAATTGAGCAGGCAACGGTGATGCGAAGCCGTTCCGAAGCGTTGAACTGGATCAACGTTCGCAATACTTTCGCCAGTTGGGCCTCAATCGCAGCCGAGCTCACGCCCTGGCCGTTGGCTCCATGAAGGTGCCCGATTTCAATTTGCGCAACATTCAGCGGCAAAGATATCGCATGAGCGTCGAGGCCGGCGACGAGCGCCAGGCGGAGGTGGACGCCATTATTGTCAAAGAAGTTACAACTATGATTGAGTCGCGCCAGGAGAGGCTCAAGCAGCGGCCGCGTACCCCGCCACCGCCGAGAGACATCGACTGGCATGGAAATAGGGGCGTTCCACGGCAACGTGCACCAAGCCCCGAAAATTTTGGACTGACTCGCCGGTTCGACGACCATGAACGAAATGAACAATTCCGTGAGCGTAATGACAACTTTCGTGAGCGAAAAGATAGCCATCGTGAGCGGAACGATGATTTTCGTGAGCGAAATGATAGATATCGGGAAGACAGTTTTCGTGCTCGGCATTTTGAACGAAATGATAATTTTCGTAAAGCAGATGCTTTTAATGATACACCAAGATTTATGGATAAAATTCGTAACTCAAATTTGGACGATTTTGGTCCAAATCAGTTCAGGGACGAAGAACGCAGCATGTATAATATAAATCGTGAACCAATTAATTCCAATTTCGGCTTAAATCGTCGTTCGCCAAGTCCCGAAAATTTTCGATCAAACTATGATGATTTTCGCGACGAGCGTCCAAGAAATTTTCAAAATTCCAATATGAACGATTTCGATGATGATTTGAGGGCTGCACCACGACAGCTGGAGAGCTATCGCGGAACTAGTCCGGAACGCGGACGGGGACGGATTGATGTACGATTCGATAATGAACCGGACGAACAACGTTTCTACAATGAACGCAATCAAAGTTATCCGGAGGATAATTTTCGTCGACAGCCAGTCCTGGACGAACCTTTCCCAAGGAATGTTCGGAATGAGGAGCGACGTCCGGAATTTATAGACGATTTTGGACCGGGACCCAATTTTGTTAGCGAACCATCGAATTTTGTGGGAAATAATTTGATTGACCGAAATGAATATGCTTTAAATATAAATCGATATAATTCTGATGGAAGTTTGCCAGACGAACGACGCAACTTTGATCCCGATTTCCAGGACAGAGCCAACATGGGCCCCGATTTCCAGCCGGATACAATGTTCAACAACAGAAATCAATCGAACTGGAATAACAATAATAATAATAATAATCCAATGAACCCATCTAACTGGAATATTAATAATCCCATGAACCAACCCAACTGGAACAATAATAATAATAATCCCCGAAGCTTTGGCTTTTCGGGAGATAATCCGGACATGATGCTGCCCAGCTTTGTTGGGCCCGCCCAAATGAGAAACAACCAACAGCAGCCAAGAAGCAGCTCCCTCAACAGTAGACCAAGTCCGGCGCAGGTTGCCCAAAGATTAAACCAACAAAAGCCATCGCCGATTCGAACTGGCAACAATGTCCCAAAAAAACCCCTGATTGCCAATGCACCGGGCAACAGGCAAACGGTCGGCATGCCAACCAAAACAACTAATCCAAATCCAGTCAATGCTGTGCCCAAAAAACCCTTACTGCCAGCTCCGGCTGGCAAAAAGGATGTTCGCCACAATTTAGTCAAAATTAATACGAATACAAACCAAAATCCAGACAGGCCGAGCACATCGCAAGCCGCCAGCAATCAGCTAAATCTGGCAACAGCAGCTCCCCGAACTGGTAAGCTATATAACAGTTCCGTTATAAAGTCCTCAAGGCACTTAAACATATCGAGCTCGATCTTTTAAAATTTTTTACACAAATATTTTAGTGAATTTTTACCTACCAAATTCAAATTTTAGCTCAATAGCTAAGTTTTAGACCCAATAAAACCTATAAAAGGCAAAGAAAGTTCGCTGGTTCGTTTCACGATTTGAACCAGTTCATGAACTCTGAAGTGGATTCGAACCTTGGTTCTATACATGTTATTCCATTATAAATGATGGAATTTTGTTTTAAAATTTAACTTTGTTCCAATTATATAAATTTACATATTTCGAGAAAAGTTCCAATAATTAAGAATGCTTAGAAAAAAAAGTAAAGTTCATGGTTCAAACCCCCTCGACTTCAAAGCTTACCCAAATCCTGATTATTTAGTTTGCCATATTTCGAGAACTAATTATAACGTAAGAAAAGTTCCAGTTCCAACCAGAAATACTAAAAAAAAAAAGAAGTAAGGTTCATGGTTCAAACCCCTTTCACTTCAAAGCTCAGCCAAATTTCTGATTACTTCAACATATTTCGAGAACTAAATATGACGTAAGAAAATATCCAGTTCCAATCAGGAATACTTTAAAAAAAATATAAGTAAAGTTCATGGTTCAAACCCCCTTGACTATAAATCTTACTCCAAATGTTTAAGTGTTTTGTAGGAGAGTAGAAAAGATATATAGTCAGACCTCTTCACAGCCAACAAGCGTGCAGCAGACGCAACAGGTTCAGGATTTTTGACCAAGGCCGAGATTAAGAGACGCAAGCTGGCCGTAAAGCGTGGATTTTTGATTGGCGGCATCAAGCTGCCGTATATAAACAACAGTGCACGGGAGCTGCCCCAGCCGGAGGATAAATCCTATGCGATTACATTTTTCGAACAAGAGCCCATCTATAATACGGCCATCTATGTGACGGACAATGATGAGGGCGACATTGCGAACATTGAATCGGACGAGAATTCGGATGATGATGATGCTCCGCCAGCGGCTGCCAACCAGATGGTTTTCACGCCGGGTACCAGAAAGCGCAGTGCCATACGCAAACGGATCAGTACGGCCTGGACGAGGCTGTATCGGGCGAATAATTATAAATGCTGGCTCAACTGGTGGAAGGCGTACAAATGGTGCGAGCCGGAGTTGAACAAGCAGCTGGAGAAGTTCGGTTCCTTGAATATCCGGCAGGCTTTTCTGCCCAACTATCCGAAGAAAACCACGGAGCAGGTGATAAATCTGGTCATGAAATCGGCTCATTTCGCGCTCGAGGAGAACACGAGCTCGCATTTTCGTAACCACAAAACTCTATATAAGCTTATGAATGAGGTATTTCTCGAGAATCTCTCGTTGCCCGTTATTGAACAGCTGCAGGAAATGATACGCGGCACCCCGAATCATATTTGGGCATACAAAATGCGTAGCATGGTTTATCTCTGGGCGGAATACTATAAAATTGCTACAGCTAGTCCCATAGATAAGGCATATTTTGCGGCTATTCGGGCTAAATGGAAGAGTCCCGTGTTCCACTGGATGTGCAAACAGGCATTCGATGAGCTAAAGGTGGGCAGCTTTTTTTATTTATATATTTCCCTATTTCGTATTATAATCGAATCTTTCTGTATTGGCAGGCTATCAGTGCAATCGAGTGGCCGGATCACGCTAAGGAGTATGCGCGTCTAAAATCTGCTTAAAGAACTATAAAACCTAAGATATTTTAATTTTTAGCCACTTTGAACATAATTGAAATAATGAAAACGTATTGAAATCAATGATGATTAATAATAATGTACGCTTAACAAGCAGTAACAAGTTTCTTTTGTACTTAATCACAGGTTAAATTTTACAATTAAGTTGTCTATGGCTGCAAGCCCAAAGTTATTTTAATTTTTAGCCACTTTGAAGTTAATTGAAATAATGAAAACATATTGAAATGAACGATGATTAATAATATTGTTCCCTTAACAAGCCGTAACTAGTTTCTTTTGTACTTAATCACAGGATAAATTTTACAATTAAGTTGTCCAGGGATGCAAGCCCAAACCAATTGTAGCTGGTTCGGTTCACAGTTTTAGCTAAGATTCAGTTCGTTAACTTAATATTCTACGTTCATGAAAACAAACTTTGATTTGTCCTTTGGATATTTTAAGAATTTATCAAATTTTAAGAAAAAGCTAAGGTTCGTTTCGGAGGTTTTTTTTAAGTTGGTTTGGTTTAAGGTTCGGTTCCTTGAAGTGGGGAATTTATTATTTAAGATTAGAATCTAGTTCCATCAATTTATATTTATTTTTGATTTTCCTCAATTTTATCAGGATTCTGCGTGAAAAGCTTTAAGGTCAACAGCAATGAGAAGTTCTTCATAAACGTTTGCCAGGCACCGGAAGTGCCAGGACCCAAAGATATAACCGATGCGGAGCTAATTTCCATATTGGAGTCATGCGAACCGGGCTCGTTCCGCGTGCCCATGAGCATCTCGGAGATGCGCAGCGCCAAGGATCGCTCCAATAATACGGTGGAAGTGTGCGACATCGCGATCAATCCGAAGTTTTTGTTGAAAATCAAAAAGTCGCAACTGTTCAACAATTTCTTTCTACAAATCGTCGCCGAGGCGCTGAGCGAAAAGTACAACATACAAATCAGCATGGATAAGACAATCATCCTGAGCAATCGCAAGTTTATCGGAACCCTGGCGCCGCATCGTGTCCGCAACGATGATGTGCAGCGGGCGGGTGGCCCAAAGCAGCCCAACAACGAGTCCCAGGTGCTGGGCGAGCCATCCGCATCGAAACCGGGCGCATTGGTGCAGGAAATCGACGAGGAGCATGCGGCCAGTATCCGGACTAACTGGGCCAAGAACCGTGAGCCCATCTACAAGCTACGCGCCCGCGTTCGCGATGAGATCGTCGATGAAATCCACGCCGAACTCTATTTGCCCAATTGCGTGAGTCTATTTAATCTGTATATCTTTATGGATAATACCCTAACATTTCTTTCCTACCAGGTCTCGTCGCAGGAGTTCAGCTTGGACATTGGCGAGGATCGCATATTGATCGAGTCCCCGAAACACGGCTATGTCTTTGATAAATTCGTCAACTATCGCCTGAACCAGGAACGCGCCCAGGCGCTCTTCGATAAAACCAGCAAGGTTAATATCGAGTTTATACATCTTCCAAGTTTAACTTGATTAATTATTGGATAACTTTTACAGATGCTTCAAGTTCGCATTCCGGTTCTGAGCATGTGAATGCATCTCAATCATGGACATAAAACACGCTTAATTTCAAATTCTTAAATATTAAATCTAAAATAATAAAGAGCATTGATAATCAAATGCTGAATAGAACATATTTTATATTGCATTTGTTTTAATTATAGTCTATGCAAAAATCTTTGTTTTAAGGAGCTATTTTGGTGGGATTTTGCTTGGGTTCATTTTTTTGAAAGCAAAATAAAAATCTTTACAAAAATTAAAACCTCATCAAAATATAATCAGGTGATTAGCTAGAGAGAAGAGGCGAAAATCTGGCATTGGGCTAAATACAGGCGAGATCATATATGTACACAATTCCCAGAGACATCTGGGAATGCAGAAACCGAGATAATAATGGTCTGATATGAGGAATTGAGTTATCGTTCAAAACTGTCGGCAAAAAGCGGATGTCAGGGACATATTTTTATGGGCCTATATATCTTAATTGCATTGCTATTATTTTGCTCAACCCTAGACTACTAAAACTACATTTTTTCGAAGGCGAAATGTTACATACGTTTAATTATTTACCATATGTATAGCTGTATAACACTGGGTGTGTGTTTGTATAACATATTTGTCCAGCAACCGGCAGTCAATATAGCGTAGCCCTGGTTACACTTGGCTTAAATCACCATTTTAGTTCCACTCAAGAACCATTCAAGCAAATGTAAAGTTACACCTAAAATTACGAAATTAAAAATGGCAGTTAAATTAAAGAAATTCACAGACTTTCTACAATTATATTTAATTGTGGCTAAGGAATAAAAAAGAAAAAACATGATTTACCTGTTCAAATCTGTGGAGCAGTTTCTGAATTAGTTCAGTTCAGTTCAGTTCTCCGCTGTTCACTTTGACGCTTTACAGCACTGTTCTGCATGTATGTGTGTGTGCGCGTGTGTGCGTGTCTGTCAAATGTGAAAATATTACAATTTAGAACGGCATCAAGCAGCTAGCGTATTGTAAAAAAAAATTTAAGAAATCGCTGCAAAAGCCGTTAAAATCTTACCTTGTCGTCACATATAATTAGTTAAATCGATTTAGAGAGCAGTTAGTCGGGCAGTATGGACCATAGATTCAGCGCCTACGGCATTGGGCAGCGTCGACAGCCCAATGATACATCGTCTTTTGCGCCAATTCGCAGTGGTGTTGGCAGCGGTGGTGGCGGCGGCGGCGGCGGTGGTGGCAATAGCGGCGGCGGTGGTGGTGGTTGTGGTCCATTCGAAGATAATTTTCGCAGGTCAATGAACAATATTGACAACGGTTACAACAATCAACGATATGCAGATATTGATAACAACAAGTTTGGCGGTATGCAATCAAACAATTATGGACGCTCCGGCGGCGACATTGGCTTCTCTAACTTTAACAACAATCAGAACAACAACAACAACCAACGGTTCGGCAACAACGGCCGTGGAGCAGACCATGTGAGTGCTGCGCCGATTAAAAGCAACTTTGACGACCGTCGTGGACCGTCGCAGCAGCCGCAGTCAAATTTTCTGGGACGCACTTTCGACCAGCGCTTCAATATAAGCGGCGACAACAGTCGAAATGCGAGCAATAACGGTTATATGTCTAGTTCCGACAATTACCGTGGCTCTCAGCAGCAGCAACAACAACAACAACAGCAGCTGCCAACAAATTCGGGCATGAGTCGCTCTGTTAGTGATCTTGGCTACAACAACAACAACAACAACAACAACAGCAACATTAACAACACTGACAATCAACGCTTTTACAACAACGATCGCAATATCGATACTTATCGACGTGCCGATCATTTCAATGACAATTTGCGCGGGCAGGAATCGAGTAATTTGAGCCGCACTGGCTCCAATTTTAAGTTCAACAATGAACGCACTGCGCCTTTTAATACGGGCAACTTTGGCAACTTTAACGATCGCGGTTTCAATGACGACTTCCGCAGGCCGCAGCCCAACGATTTCCCCATAGGCTTTGACAACAAGGTCAACAACAACAACAACGGCAACAACAATAATCAACCATTTTACAACAACAATAGCCAAGCACCGATTGGGGCTGGCAACTCGAATGTCCAGAATTATCGCGGCCAGAACAATGCTAGGCCCGCTGGCGAGGCTTACGCAGTGATGGAGACGGTGAACGCTCTGATGAAGAACCAATCCAACTGGCAGGTGGGCAACAACAACTTTGGCTTCGGCCAGGGCAAACCGAATGTCGGCGGCAATCGCAACAGTAAATGGAATTTCGACAACAATGCTGGCCCCAAGCCCAATCCCACGCCAGTTGGCAACAGACCGCAGATGCCCAATCAAGGCAAACCGCCAGCTCCCAGGCAAATTATCAACAACAACAACAGCAACAAGCCGCAGCTGCCCGTTGCCGCACGTAGGCCGCCAGTTGTTGTCAACAGGCCGCAAAATCAGCAACAGAAGCAAATTATTAAAAATCCATTGAACGCTAAAAATCAACCAGCTGCGGTCAAGAATGTGGCCGTTAACGGCGGCAAGCCGAAGCCAGCTCAGGTGCCGGTCAAAAAGAATCCGGCCGCAGCACCTGCTCCAAATACTCAAGCGAAAAACAAAGCCAACAACGGCAACAACAACAACAGCAACAAGCCACAGGAAGTCAAGAAAGAAGCTCCCAAAACTAATGCTAAAGGTAAAGCCGAGGGTTAAGTACACTATCTTGATAGATATCTCGATAAACCTAACAGAAACTTCGCATGATTCAGTCAAACATTTTATTAACGCCTTCCTTTTCCAGTTCCCGGCCAGAAACGCGTAGCCGAGGCAGTTCCCGTGCCGCTCACCAAGGCCGACATCAAGCGTCGCAAGCTCGCGGTCAAGCGTGGCTTTTTGCTGGGCGGCTTCAAGCTGCCGTATATCAACAATCAGAAGGTGGCTCTGCCGCAGCCGGAGGACAAGTCGTATGCGATCATGTTCTTTGAGCAGGCGCCGAATTACAGTACAAGCGGCGAGGAACTCGACGATGAGGCCCTGGCGGAGGAGATGCCCAGTGTCGAGCAGGACGGCAAGAATGCGGGACGGACACTGGTCAAGCGCATTCGCAAGCGCTTGCACTACGAGTGGGCCATCAAGGAGGAGTCGAAGAAGTACTCATCCTGGACAGCCTGGTGGACGGACTACAAGTGGTGCGAGGCGGCCATTAAGGAGCAGCTGCAGCCATTTGGCAGCATCAATTTGCGCAATTGCTTTATACCGGACTTTCCACGTTTAACCACCGATCAGGTGGTCGATGTGATTGTCAGTCAGGGCCAATTTGCGCTGGAGAAGAATTCCGATAATTATTACAATAACATGAAGTCCATATTTACATTGATGAATGTAACCTTTTTGGAGAACCTTAAGATGCCGAACACCGAGAAGGTTCAGGACATGATACGCAGCGTGCCCAACGATTTCTGGACATACAAAATGCGCAGCATGGTCTTCTTGTGGGCTCAGTATCTAAAAATCTCAAAGACCTCATCGCCGGCCACGGAAACTGGCGTCAAGGAGCTGCAGGCCATTGCCCGCGACTGGAAGAACCCCGTATTCCATTGGATAGCCAAGCAGGCCATCGACGAACTCAAGGTAGGCATAATTTATTTGATTTAATTGAATTATTGATTTATATTCCAATTTCTTTGCACAGGCTATCAGCGAGGTGGAGTGGCCGGAGCATAAACAGAAGTACGCCAGCTTGGAATCATCTGCTCCAGCATCTTAAGGCAGCCCAGCGCGCTTGTCCTGTATGCATTTTCATCCCAAATTTTATTATAAATTGATAAATACATTAAAAAACAAAACACACAAGATTGTAGATTGCGAGTAAACAAATAAATGCATACATCATAAGGACGCACGGTTTATCTATTGTGGGGCAATACCAGGATGAAGACTCTCGAGAAGACTGTGGCTAAATCTTCTAGAAATTCTTCTCGTTACTTAAGCTAGAAATTTGGAGTCTCACAAACCCATCAAGACTTGGTTCGGGAGAATTGTGAAGATTGAAATTCTTCGTGCCGAAGAATGTTCTTTCATTAAAACTGATTAGCTTTAAGCATGACTTGGCTATAATGAATCGCCAGTTGGGTCTGGAAATGCCTCCCCATTACATAGCAAAAGATAACAAACTTTAGAGGGGTAATAAATACCTTAAATATCGATTGGAAAATAATTGGGTGCACCTGCACTCGTTTTACCTTGAAAATCAGGAAAAATAAACAATAAACTTATTTAAATGCAGCTGCCGCAATTTTATTGCCAATCAGACTTCTGTTTATGATCCGAATATTTCTCCAATTACAAATTAATAAAAAAAAAACAATCAATTCCTCGCCTCAGATTATGTAATCTATACAAAAGTCGCGGAAATGGGAATCTGTTGCGCTTAGGCGCCCAGCTGCTTGTACAGGATGGGCACATAGTCATCGTACTCGGCCTGGTAGAAGTTGCCGGCCACGGGATTGCCCAGATCATATTTCTCGGCGAACTTGGCTGTCTTGAAGCCGCCGCGTCCGTCGCCGCTGGTGTTGGGCAGACGCTTCTCGTCGAAGGTCAGCTTGCATTTCTGCTCGAAGACCAGAAAGATGTAGCGATGCAGGCCGGTGTCTGGCGGCGGACCGGAGCCAACGTAGGCGGAGAGCACCTCGCCCTTGGCCACATCGCTGCCGGGTATGTTGCCGACCAGCCAGTGATGCCATTCCCGGAACTTGGGATCCTTGCGACTGGGCGCATCCGGATCGGTCATGCAGAGCGTGTAAAGTTTCGAGGAATCCGCCTCCCATTTGACACACGGCTGATCCTTGACCTGGGTGGGGGTCAGCACATTGCCGGCCTGCACGCTAATGCCGCCGGCATATTCAACGGAAGCCGTGCCCTTGGGCGCCTTGGCTATTACATCGGGCACAATACAATGCTCTTCCATGCTGCTGCCGATTGATTTGCACGAATAGTTGCGTATCGAGTTAGTAACTGGAATGAAACGCTGCAAAATGGCGAAATTTTCTCGAGTGCCCGTCGCTGTTGCCGTTCTAAAGGTGTTGAGGGCATTCCAATTGACAGCTGTCATTGCGGTAGCCCTGATTATGTGATTCCATTGCGTGGACAATGGATTTTTCAGCATGCTACGCGTGCAGCCCAAGCGTACAATATTCATTTTTGGCCAAATTCAATGTGCACTTTAGCAAAACCGATCGTTTAATTAGTTTTTAATATTTAGTTAATTGCAATTATTTCACAGTTGGCAGCCCTGCCAATCACAGGTAAACGCGTTCGCTTGTTATCGTTATCGATGCTTTCCGAAATTTTAAAGCTGGAAAATTAACTTTGTTAAATATGGTAACAATTTTGATTTGTGTTGATTTATAAACTTTGACGAAGATTAAATAGCCTAGCAGTCAAATAGCAAATATGAGATTTATTTGTTTACTTAGTCAGCAAAGTTTCATAGCGACTTACTTAATTTCCCACTTAGTGTTCCAATTGGATATAATGGATGCCAATAAGATTTGGTGGGTTTTTTAACAGCGTTGACAATTCAGCTATTTTCCAGCTAAATATAGCTGTTTTTAGAGGTAGACAGCCGGAAACAGTTCAAATCAACTGACTTAGCTATTTTTGGCATCTTAATGAGTATACAATAGCTATTTTTAGCTGTTTTTTAACATTCTGTTCGATATCTTTAAACAAATAGTTAATTTATAACTGATTGTTCCGATCCAACCAACTCTGAAATATGTCCCTCGTGTGGCTAGAAGATTGGATCAGGATCTCGTAGAAGGTGTTACACATTTGCTAAAACAATAATTAATTTAAACACATCCTAAATTGGCAAGGGCTATGCTTATATTATATACAAATTTTCACGTAATCCTTAAGGCAAATAATAACTGGTCGATCTTTTAGCTTTACAATACACTTAAATTGCTAGGACTTAAAGAAGGTGATTAACAAAAAACAAAATGAAGGAACAATCAATGGTATGATGCGTATGATATGGTTTTTTTTGGATTGCAGTTTGAATGTTGTTCGTTGGAGTCAAGTTTGGGCCATGGGGAATAACTAAACTTGATAGCGCTGCTTGTGTCATGCCTTGCGGAAGACGTCGCTGGAGCCGTACGAGTAGCGACGCTCCTTCAGGTTGGTGCTGACCAGCACCTCCTCGTCGTACTGGGAGACGCGCTGCATCTTGGGCCGCATCAGGCCGCGCACATCCATCAGCGTGATGTCGATATCCTTGAAGGCATTGAGCAGAAAGACGGCAATGATGACAATTAGAAAGCCGCACACATCGCCAAGTATATTCTCGAAGCGCATGTGCTGGAACTCCTTGAGGAGTATGGCGGATGCGGTGATCACCAACGTGGTGAACATCACATAGTAAACGGGCGTCACAATGCTCGTATTGAATATGTCCAGCGCCTTGTTCAAATAGTTCATTTGTATGGCAATAAAGGTGACCGTCACCACGATCAGGAACCACGGCATCCACGTGCTGAACACATTCGAGCCATTGGCAATTGTGCTGCGTATGGCCAGGCCCAGGGCCTTGCAGGACATCACCGTCAGGGAGCCAATGCCGGAGCACAGGAACAGGTACACGCAGACATTGGTGTGTCCATGTTGCGGCGCCACAAAGCAGGCGACAAATGCGCTCGAGCCAAAGATGCAGATGACATAGAGTATAAAGACGGGATCCTGCAGCATTTCGAAGAGCACTTGCAAATCCTCAATTTCCTTCTCCTTGGGCGAGTGTATGACCACAATTGTCGAGCCCAAGATGCACAGAAAGCAGCCAATTTTGCCCAACAAATTGAGCTTCTCGTTGAGGAAACGGGAAGCCATCACCGCCGAGATGATAACACTCAGCGCGCCCAGGGGCGTGACCAGGGAGGCGGGCGCAAACGCATACGCGGCAAAATTGGCCGCTTCGCCCAGACCCACTGCAAAGGCACCAAAACAATCACGAATGAGTCACCATTTGACAAGGTCTTCCGGTCACACAGAAAAACTCACTTGTCAGCAGCCCCGCCCACCAGATCCATTCACGCAAATAGCCAAATCCGCCAGCCGCGGCGCGCACCTCGCCATAACGGCTCAGGCGCAGCAGGGCCTTCTTCTTTATGATGAAGCTGGAGCCGATGAAGAAACATGATGAAATGGCCAAACCGACGCCAATGTAAAAATCCGTATCCGAATAGGGCTCAGTCAAGGGGGGCGTGTCCGAGACTACAGATGCGACGGACACAGCTTGGGCCGGCGGCAGTAATGAGGCTTCGCTATTCATTTGTCGGCTATTCGTGTTGTTGGTAACCGCAACTCTAAAAGAAAGTTGAGAATAATAAATACACACACACACACACGCACGCCTCGTAATCAGCTGAAAGTTGTTGTCTGCATGACTCACATTTGCCCTCGAGGCTTGCACTTAATACGTACACATAAACACATACAACTAAGCACTTTGTTTGAGCTGCGTGCATTATTTATAGAATTTTAATCAACTTACTTGTTTATTTAGCAGCCATGCAAATATAAGAACTGCACGCACAGAAACTTTGTTTTGTTTGTTTGTGCGATTGCAATTTCCAGCTCGATTGCGTTTTGCCAGGGCTGCATAAATATATATCGAAAGTACCGATTATTGTGCACACCTTTGCCGCGATCGGTAATGTTAAATAACAGCTGTGCTCTGTTGTGTATTTTTTCAACTGTTAAATGCTAATTGCCGCACAATTAAGAGTTTATTTTTTCCTAAAAACCTACAACTATTTTTTTTTAATGATTTACATTATGCAGAATTTAACACCGGCCAGTTTGTAAGCGCACAAGCTAATTTTCTCAAGTAAAACAACCGCTCGCTGTTGTTAACAGTCCGGAGACCTGTTAAGTTTCTGTTTAATTAAAACAAATGTGCTGTAAAAAAGGTAAACATTAATAAAAATTGTATTAAGGATATTCGAGTGGTTTTTTATTCCATCACGCCACAGGAGACTTTCTTGCAAAGATCTTTAGTATCAGCTGCAGCAGCAGGTAGACTGCCGATAAAACCAAAAAGTAGCTACCATAAACAATATATTGCTTCTTCGGCGGCAGGCCAAAGCCCGTGTCTGCAACGGAAGGGATTGACTTTCGTTTATAATCAAAAGGATATTCGACTTACCCGTCAGCACAACAACAGTTAAAATAGACTGCAAGACGAGCGCCACCAGCGTATTGATGCCAAACACCAGGCCGAAGCTGTCGTCCACCAGATTCTCGGCCACAATGGCCGCGGCCACGGTGATAATAAAGAAGAATATCGCGCAGAAGAGGGCATAGCCGGCGTACGCCACCCAGACGGACTCGCAGCAGGCCGCCAGCAGCAGGAGCGCGCCCAGAATGGCCACACAAACCGAATTGAGCAGCATATAGAAGCTACGGCGACTATTGCTGTTCAGCATGCCGGCGAGAATGGCGCCAATGGCGCCCAGAAGCGTGGCCACCGCCTCGACGCCGCCGTTATAGTTGCTCTGATGCTCCGGCGCCTGCTCCTTCCACAGGAACTGTATGTACGAGATGACCTGCACCTGGCCGCAGATGGCCAACGCCCACCAGATGCTCCACATGAGCACAATGGGATTCGTATAGGAGGAGACCAGATGATACCAGAGCAGGCTGCCGGCATTCCGCAATGAAAACTTTGGCGCCGCCATTTTTGCATCTGCATTTTCCACTTCCGCCGGTGAATTCTTGTCCTTGTACGACTTGACCGCATAGAAGTAGACGCTGCGTGGAACAGTCGGCAAAGATAGGGCAATGGGCAGCGATATAATCTGTGTGGCCAGCGAGATGTAGTGCAGCTGGCGAAAGTTCATGCAGTCCGTGGAGACGAGCACCTGGGCGACGACGCCGCCCAGAAATTTGCCAGCCAAAATTGCGGCTCGCGTGTGCCCGGTGACGATCTGATATCGTTCCCGGTCGACCTTGGCATAGATGTACGTATAGTAGGCCACCTCGGCGGCCATGAAGAAGCCGAAGAACACCTGGGCAATCTGCAGCTCCAGCAGGCTGCGCGTCCACAGCAGCATGACAAAGAGCACAATGCCCGCCACGGAGGACAGCACAATGATTGGCTTGTAGCGCAACAGATCCGTGATGAGGAACACGATCACCAGCAGCGCCAGCACGGAGTAGGTGCCAAAGGGATAGACGTCCTGGTAGATCTGTTCGGATGTCAGATTGCGCCAATCGCCGGCCAAATATTCGGTCACGAACGGCTCCGAGGGTCGCAGCTCCCGCAGGAAACCGAACGAGCAGAGCAGCATGGAAATCCTCAGCCACAACTGCATCTTGACTGGAAATTCTCTCGCAATTAAACAGAACAGACGTTCCCTCTCTCTCGCGAGTTTTTAGCAGCGTGCGGCTAAATTGATTGTGTGTCGTAATCGTCGCGACAGTCCGACAACAACTGTTCCCTGAGCCCAGCCGAGCCGATCCCGGCGACTCTCTCGCACGAATTCTGAAGCAACCTGTTGCTTTCTCTCCCCCAAAAAGTCTGACAATTTGTGAGATTTCAAGCACGAGAAAACACTTCTCCTAAAATATATATGTACATATATGTATATGTGTGTTCTTCTTATACCCTGTACTAAACACATTTAAATATTATGTATACATGGTTGTAAACTTTTTGGAGGGCAGCAGAGGGCAAAAGCTGAAAATTGAAGCTAATTCAGCTATTTATGGCCAAGAAAGTTGTTGTTTAAAGCTAGTTTTAGGTAACTGTGTTGCCATAATAGCTATTTTAAAGTTAAATGAAGCTATTTTTAGAGGGCAAAAGTAAAAGTGTTAATTAATTCAGCTTTTTATGGCATATCAAGCTCTCTTTTAAAGTTTGTTTAGCTATTTTTTGGCAACTGTTCTGACATTCGAGGCATTTAATAGCCAAATTTAGCTATTTTTAGAGAGCAGCAGAGAGAAAAATTTGAAAATCAAGACTAATTCAGTCTTTTATGGCCTGGAAAGTTGTTGTTTAAAGCTATCTTAGCTAATTTTAAGGCAACTATGTTGCCATTAGAACTATTTTATAGCTAAATATAGCTAGTTTTAGAGAGCAGCAGAGGGTAAAAAATAATAATTTAAACTAATACAACAATTTATAGGTAATAACGCTGTTTTTTAAAGCTAATTTACAACTGTGTTGCCAATACAGCTATTTTAGAGCTAAATGTAGCTAGTTTAAGATGTCAAATGTGAAAAATGCAACTAATTTACCTATTTATGGCCTAAAAAACTTTTTTTAAGCCATTTTAGCTATTTTTTTACTATGTATTCAGCTTATTTTTTTAGAAATCGGCAGCACTAAAAAGTATAAATAGCCAAGAGCTATAAAAAAAAATTGAGTATATTTAACTGAAACTGTTCTATTTATATTACATTTGATTTTTTATAGCTTTATTTTCGAAATACCAAAACAAATAAACTCAATAAAAACTATTTATAGAATATTAAGAAAATAATTAAAAATGGTAAGCTCGTCAAAACCAACAGTAAATATGAGGAAAATATTTCAAATATTTTCAAATTTCACTCGGACGCACAGGGTATTTTCTAGTCTATACACAAAAAAATTGTACAAATCTGTTGTCAGCGCATTGTTGAACTGATTCAATTGGGTATCGAATTGATTATTTGTTTTTTTTCGGGCATAACTAGTTTTGTCATTAGGCATGTAACAGTTAATACTCTGTACGCGAAGTGATCAAAAGGCATATTGGTTTTGACTGTCTGTTTGTTAATTGTTTAAATATTTGAAATTTGAAAAAGAAAATGCGAAATACTCCAAAGTTTCATTCAATTTTAGCCCAAGCAAATCGATTTAATTTATATTTCTTACAGTTTTAAATTCACATTCCCAAAATAACAGTTTTACGCTCACTAAATATCTTTTATATAACTGTCTTTTATATATATATCGTATATATATATATATATCTTTAATATATATGTCTTTAATATATATATCTTTTCCCATTTATAAATCTTTTACAGTTTTAAATTCACATTCCCAATAATTACAGTTTACATTCACAAGCCAAATTTTTACTTAATTTTACAACACTGTTACAGAGCATTACGCCGTCGTTTCGACTGCAAGCTCCTCAATTTCAATTCTTGTAGATTTATGATCTGTCAGACTGATAAGATTGTTATTAATATTATCATCTCTTGTCATTTCCCTTATCTATATCAGTTAGATTAGAGATTTATGATATTTTTTGACGATTTTAGGGCACTGGAAATGACATTTTTTACCATTCCGAAGAACGTAACGGGCGAAAATTGGTTTAAATTTAACAAAAACAAAATCGATGCTCAGCGAAATAATGAAAATATAAGAAAGAATAAAAAAAAGTCACAACTATTTTGATTTAATTTTAGATTGGAGATTTATGATATTTTTTTTTGACGATTTTAGGGCACTGGAAATGACATTTTTTACCATTCCGAGAAACGTAATCTTTCGGGCGAAAAAAAGGTCTTAAATTAAATTCCAATAACAAAAAATACCTATTCTCAAAAGTCACAATTGGTTTTAATTGTTGACTTCGTTATGGAACACGCCTCAAGTAAATCAAGGCGAAATTGCGCAGAAAGAGTTTTCGGGAACACACCCGCAAAATGCGAATGGACAGCTTATTGTCTACTTTTTAATGTACTCCTGATAAAGACGCAACAGCTCGGGACTTGTGCGTGGCTGGACCATTTGGAGGGCGGCCTCGAAGTGCCGCCAATGCACGGACTCGGCCTCAAAGCTCTGCTCCAGAGCGCTGAGCGCCGCCTCATGGCAGACGGCCTGAATCTCGGCGCCCGAATAGCCCGCTGTGAGCGTGACTAGGCGATCCACGTCGACATCCTCGGCCAGGGGCATGGCGCGCAGCTTGATGTGGAGGATTTCGAGGCGTGCCTCCGGCTCGGGCAGGCCCACGTAGCAGACGCGATCGATGCGGCCGGGACGCAGCAGCGCCTTGTCTATCATGTCCGGTCGATTGGTGGCCGCAACAATGGTCACATTATGCAGCGCCTCCACGCCGTCCATTTCGGTCAGCAGCTGGGTGAGCACGCGTTCCTTAACGGAGGCGCCGCTGGTCGATCCCTCCGAGCGTTCGCCGCCAATGGCATCGATTTCGTCGAAGAAGACAATCGCGGGCGCCACTTGACGCGCCTTGCGGAACACCTCGCGAACGGCACGCTCCGATTCGCCCACCCACATGGAGAACAGCTCGGGGCCCTTGATGGACAGAAAGTTCAATTTGCTTTCGGTTGCGAGGGCCTTGGCAATCATTGTCTTGGAACAGCCGGGCGGACCGAACATGAGCACGCCACGCGGCGGCTTGATGCCCAAGCGCTGGAACTTATCCGCATGCAGCAGCGGCCATTCGATGGCCTGCTGCAGCGTCAGCCGGATCGCCGCCTGGCCGCCAATGTCCGACCACCGGACATTGGGATTTTCGATGAGCACCTCGCGCATAGCCGAGGGCTTGACCTGTGTCAGCGCCGACTGCAAATCCCGCAGCTCCAGCGCGCGCGCCTCAGTCTTGAGTGTGGCCAGCGTCGCGGTATACACCAAGTTGGCCAGATCAGCGCCCACATAGCCGTGCGTTATGCTCGCAATCTGCTCCAGTTCCGACTCCTGGATGTTATGCTGCAGCGGCTGCAGCAGACAGTGCAGAATCTCTTGGCGTGCGGCTGGCGTGGGCGCGCTTAGCTCCAGTTCGCAGTCCAGACGCCCGGCACGCCGTATGCTCGGATGCAGTGCATCAATTTGCGAGCTGGTCGCCAGCAAAAATGTACGACTCGCCGCCGGCCGACTGCCGCTGCTGAGCTGATCGAGGAGCGTGAGAAATGCCAGCGATACGCGCTTGACCAGATCGCTGCCGGCGTCCTGCTTGGGACACAGCGTGTGCACATCCTCCAGCAGCAGCAGCGTCGGATGCGGATAATGCGCATAGGCGCGTTCGAAGTAAGCCGCCAGCTTTTGCTCCGTTTCGCCCAGAAACTTGCTGTAGATCTCGCCGCTGTTGATGTGGATGAGCTGCACCTTGCTATCGCGTGTCCGGGCCGCTGCGCACATGGCCTCGCAGATCAGGGACTTGCCGCAGCCGCTGGCGCCGTACAGCAGCAGTCCACGCGAGACCTTGATGCCTGCAGGGAGAAGATATTCAGGGGGTTTATGTTCCTTCAGTAATTCCGCTGCTTACCCTTGGGCATTGCCCTGTAGCCCAGCGCATAGTCCATGCTCTCCTCCACCAATTGGATTTCCTTGTCCAGTCCGCCAATTTTGGCTTTAGTCGGTTGTTGCTCCGGCTCCGGTTTGGCCAGCCCCTCGCTGAGCAACAGCTCCAGGCGCGTGGCGCTTGTTATCTGCACAAATTGCTGTGACTTTGCCAAACTCAGACGCGCCAGGGCATCCTCCACGGCGCACTCCTCGACGCCCTGCCAGCTCTCCAAGCGAAACGACAGAGGCTTGTTGAAGAAATTCAAATGCAGCTCGCTGTGCTTGCAGTAGATGTGATTGACTATGTCCTGCTTGAGCACAGCAGCCACATCCGGCAGCTGCTGCTGCTCCAGGCTGGATTCACTGCTGTTCAGCTGCCGCAAGGAGACGCTCGCGGCGGCGTAGAGCTGACTGCTGTCCAGTGCCGAAATGCGCAGCAATTTGCCTCGCAGCGCCGTCCAATTTTGTTTATAATCTTAAAATGGGAAATCGATTAGGGAGTTGTCACTACTTGGGAACACACAAACCTACCCTCTGCCGAGGCAAACACCGTTGTGAGAAACTGCTCCGAAACGGGCCAAACCAGGCGCACGAGCGTTGGCTGCGTCTCCTGGTCTTGATTCGCCGGCCTTATGACAACCTGTTGTCCTATGTGCAATTCAGCTAGCTGCATGGCGCCTTCGGATACAAATATCAGCATGTTGGCATATTTGGGCGGCAGATCCTTTAGTGATTCCACCTCAAAGTTGCGCTGCTGCGCGCTGCTCGTGTAAAGCGCTCCATTCCGCACAAACTCGGCATCCACTGAGGCACTTTCATCATCGGCAATGGGACACACTCGCTCGTGTGTGTCCCGGGATTTGGATGTTATGTGCACGCCACATTTGTCGCAGTGGTACCAAGTTGCTTGGTTCTTTTTATTGCTCGATTTTGGCGGCATGTCGGCAAACGAACCACGTTTTGTTTACCTTTTGCAATGCCAATCAGCTGTGTGTGTGCGTGCATTGTGAATGGCAAAAATTGGCTGGAGAGGCACATTTGAACCGAATGCGCAAAATATATTTTTTTTTGGCATTGAATTAAGAAGCTGACACAAAAAGATTATTGAAATAGAGATAATAGGTCGTCGTGCCAGGAATAGGATGTTATACAAAACAAACTTCTGTGTTTTATGTGGTCATCTTTTCATTGCTTGCCTGTTGCACTACCCAGTCAACTGTGTGCGGCCATTGTGAATGCCAAAAGCTGGTAAGTGCAATTGCTTGCAAAATGCACATTGTATGTATTTTTAAAGGATAAAAATAAGTAAACTGTGAAAATGAGAACAAGGAAGCTGCCACAATGGAATAGAATAGAAACCACGGGCGACAAACTAGTTTACATTTATGTCGCTTAATTTGGCAGCATGTCGGCAATCAAAGCATTGTTCATGCATTTGTGCATGTGTGAGCGTGCATTGTGAATGTCTAATTTAGAAGAGTACGCGGTAATTGACTTTTAAAATAAAGTATCGATGCTTAAAAATAGTTTGTTTTCTCTTCTCAAGTTTAATTAACTAATTAGTATTGATTTAATTACAGGATAACATATATACACACAATTTGCATAGTCTATTTGCCAGCAATTGGCTTGAACAGCATACAAGCCTCAGCCGTTAAGCGCAGCTTTAAAAATGAATTGGTTTTTAAACACATCTTATATTTGTACACAAATACTAATAAAAGTTTATTGCAGCAGCAAATCAGTTTCGCTAGCATTTGCCGACATCAGGTCCCGCTCGAGGCTTGTGGTGGCATTTGCCTGATTCAGGAACAAATCGAAATCGTAGCCATCGTTCTGCGCGGATATGGAATCCTTTTGATTGCTGATCGTTTGCGGATTGGACAGCAAATCCACATCGTGCAGGCCCAGTTCCTTCAGCAGCGTCTCATTCTCACTGGCATTGGACTCGGCGGCGGCCGCCGGACAACTGGACGGCGCCACATTGACAATGGGCGCCGGCTGCTCCACGGCCTCCCGGCCATAGATGACTTTGTGGCTGCGGCGTTGCGCATTGGCTTCGAGCTCTTCCTCGTCCAGCTCCTGGGGCTTGAGTGTGCTGGATTTGTACTGAAAATCAGTTTCCTTGAAGTCCACCTCGATGGGGAACAGCGGCGGCAGCGTGTCCAGACGCTCCACCAGACTTTTGTGCAGCTCCGCGAGACTCTCGAGCAGGCTGCGCAGCTGTTTGTTCAGATCCATGGCATGCTTGCACTCCAGCAGCTCCATTTTCTCGAGCACATCCGTGCGCAGCTTGGCAAACTTGCTGCGCGCATCCTGGCGACAGCGCAAGATCAGACGGTACTCATAGTTGCCCGTCTCCACGCGATAGAGCGGCTCCTGCAGCGCCGCAAACCCATGCTCCTCATCATCCATTTCCTTGACCTTCAGACAGTAGGAGAGATACGTGAACTTCGCGTCCGCATAGCGTCGCACGGTCAGCTTGGTGTCCGGGATGGCCTTGTTCAGATATGTGCCCAGATCGGCCAGCACGGGCTTGATCTGCTTGATGATGGCCAGGCCATCCTTCTCCAGCGATCGGTGGAATTCGCCAAAGGTGCGAAATGCCTCGGAGGCACGCTGCTGCGGCTCATGTGCCGAGATCTGTGTGAAGCAATCGCCAAAGGATTTGTACGTTTGCAGCAGATCGTAGTAGGCCTTCAGCATGCGACGGGCATGCTCCACCAGGCCCTTGTACATCAGTTCTGTGCCCTCGAGCTCCTCGAGTCGCTTCACCAGCGAATCGTTGCAGAGTATGGCCCGTGATAGGCCCAACGTATCCGCCGTATTGCTCGACAAATTGTCGACAATGCGATGTTTTAGTTTCTTGAGGATTATGTCCACGGTTTTGCCCTGCTCCGGATCCGCGTGCAGCTTGTTATAGTGCACGGTCACCTCCTCGGTGGCCGTTTGTATCATCTTGGCGACCTCCACCTTGGTTTTGCCCTTCACGCTCACCGAATTGACGGCCAGCAGCTCGTCACCCGACTGCAGGGAGCCCTCCCGAGCGGCCGGAGTGCCATCGAATACCTGGAAAGAGAAGAGAGGATAGGATATATTCTATGCTGGACCAAAGTCTGGGATACCTGGAGCCGAGCTGCTGCTAAGTAAAGTCTAGGCTCTTTCAAAGCAGCTTCAAAATTCAGTTGTACAAATTTTAAATTTTCGGTTTCTATTTCTGGACATATTTTAGATTTCAAATTGGCCAAGCACCATGACGCTCTCGCATTGGTACAGGGAACAGACAGACACGCCGCAGCCGACTGCCAAAGCGAAGAACATGTCGCGCGCCAGTCAATTGGATCAACGCATGAGATCCATTTTATTGGAGCGCTACGCGAGCAACAAGCCGCTGCGGCAGCAGGCGGGCCTGGACGGCTCCAGATCGAAGGCGAGCAAGTGCCGCAGGGCGTCCGCGGTGCCAATGGTCTATAAATTTCAGCAGGGGTACGATAGCAATCGCAAGGAAAGGGCGCGCAGCGTTATTCAGTCGCAACAGCAGTTCCGGCAGTTTCGCAGTATTCCGGTGCCGAACTTCAACGCGCTGCACAAGCGCTGGGAGAATCGCAACAGGACGCGGCAATTAAAATCGCTGCAGAAGATCACCGAACCGCAAACGCCGCGCACGCTGATCAACTCGATGAAGGCGAACAAACGCTGGGAATCCGAAATGCTGTCCATACAGGAGTCCAACATGAAGGAGTTCACGCTGCGGCCCAGTCTGATGACAAAATCGGCCGATTCATGGCGCAAGCCTCCGTATGTGCCATCCATCTGGTCGAGCACCGTCAAGACGAAGCCATTCAAGTTGCAGTGCTTGAAACGTGGCAAGCTCCGCAAGGAGTTCGATGAGTGTAACCAGCGCAAGCAGGAGGCGCGCTGCCAAGCGAAGGCGATCGCCGCGTCGCGTCGTTGCCAGGAGGAGTACCAGCAGGCGCGCCAATTGACCAACTTCAAGGCCAGACCGAATCCATGGAAGCGCACCAAAGCCAAATTGTAACCAATTTCAAATATACTTCGCAAACAGTTCATATTTGATTGGAGTTTAATCATTCACGAATGAATCGCTTTAAGATTCTCAGAGTTTACTCGCTTTTTCCTAGGTTTAAGGTTCGTTTTATTGCTTCGTCTTTTCTTTTTTAGTTTATCAATAATTTCGTTAATTTTATATTTACCTAGATTTATGGCTCAGATTATTATTTCGTCGTTTCTTTCTTAGTTTATCAATAGTTTTGTTAATTTTCTATTTACCTAGATTTAAGTTGGAATTATTTCTTCGTCTTTTCTTTTTTAGTTTATCAATAATTTTGCTTATTTTATATTTACCTAGATTTATGGCTTGAATCATTGTTTAGTCTTTTCTTTTTTAGTTTAACAATAATTTTGTAAGTTTTATTGTTTCTTTTTAAAAAATAGTTGCAAATGTCCAACAAATATTACTTGACGCTTGTAATTCTCAATAAGTTATGACAAAGGGCAAAAGACTTGCAAAAGTAAAATCGAAAGCAAAGTCTGTTGATGATGGAACCAGAAGGATCTTGAAGCTAGCTATAAATCTGCATAGTTCATCTAAGGTGAGCAGCTTGTGTCTATCTAAAATATATTATTTTAACGAAAACCTTTTTTTCAGGTTCTGGTTAAGGCTCGGCTGTTTTTATGAGCTACTTAAGTTTATCGTTAAAAGAGGCTTCAAGCTCCGACTTTAACCCATATTTTGATCTCTTATTAACCACTTAGACCTTCTCACCTGGACTATGTAGAGACAGGGACACATTGGGGCTCCGCCGCCGATGCTGATGCCAATTAGATTGCTCTGATCCTTGGTTATCACAACTGAGCTGGTCGTCACGGTCATGCCCCTGTAAATTGATTAAACGCATTAATTTTAATTCGGACTCATTTGGAGTATAGTCTAGAACAAAGTTGAAGCTTTTGGAAAGAAAACTGAAGCGTGCCATACTCACATTAATGGGTGCAATTTTCTAAGTAGCCAAGAAATTAAATCTAGCAATCTTATCTTTTGGCTTTAGCAATACGATTTTTATAGTTAGCTAATAAAAACCTATATTAAATATACTTGTACATGATCTCTTGTTCAGATATTGATAAACTATAAGATTGCCTAGACTAAATATTATACGAATAATAACTTCTATCTTATGAGTATTTACAATCTTGAGCTTTAAGAGGCTTCTTTCTGTTTCTTCTGATATATTCGGAATAAACTGAAAAAGTCTATATCACTAAGTTTATAACATATTTTTAATATGAGTTGGGATAATACTAGGTCTAAGTAGGGAAAAAAAAATAGAATTTATTGTACATCCCTCAAGAGCGTACTATAAACTAGGTTAGGTCCGATCTCATAAAATCTCTTGATTAGTTTCGAAACTATCTTTGAAAAACTTCGCATAGAATCTTTTTTGTGCTGGATCGGAACACTATATCTTATATATATCACAATCACTTATAAATTAAATTATAATAATAATTAACAAAACTTCGATTTTTTAGCCTTCTAATATCGCACTACCAAGTCTTATAGCTGCTATAGAAACAATAAAAAGTCGAAAATAATATCATATAGCTACTATATATAAGCCCTACAGTCTAGATCGGTGCTTCAACATTAAAATAGGGCATTATCTCTTTAATTATCTCTTCTTTTTAGGTTATACAATAAAAACTTAATAATAACTTAAGATTTTACGAAATGATACTCTATTTGGTGTTCAAAATCGAATTCCCACACAAAAACTAGATGTACAACAATATTGTAGCTCAGTCTCCGTCTATTTGGGTAGCTTTTGAGACACTACACGAAAGTACATGAGTTATAAACGATCTATAACAAGCTAATTGAGTCAAGAAATTGACTTACAGGCGATCTAACTCATATTTCTGTTTATTATACAGTCCAAAGTTGTCGGGCGCCAAGTCGAGGCCAGTGCAGAGCACCGCAATTTCGGCGTCAGACGGTTTCAAATCCTCCATTTTGGGTTTTTCACTTTTTGGAATCGGAAATTTGTGACGTACATAGAGTACTTTTTTTTTTCTCGAAGAAGTACTTCCCATATGCCCCGATACTTACGCCTCAAAGTCGGCCATGGAATCCTCATTTAACTGTATGAGCACTGGCGGTGCCTCGCATGCTCGTTGTCTGACCAAATTTTAATTTTGTTATTTAAATGCAACGCAAAAAAATAAATCAAAATAATCAAAACAATATGTTGACCCAATTATTGATTTGTGACAAACCACTTGGCAAAGGCTCTCGAATGAGATGCGTTGTTTTATGAAATCGAAAGAAAATGCGAATGTACACGCTGTTTACGTTTATCTTACTCACATTTTGTCCTCGTAGAAGAAGTCATCGTCGTCGGTCAGCATTTTGGCAGCTTATTAATTTTTTGTTTTGAACCAACCAGTCTGTGAAGCTCCCTCCTCAAGCGTGACGTGAAGTTGGCTGCGACGCAATAACAGCTGCTATCGAATAGTATCGATATCGTGCTGTTGGGTATTTTACAGCACTGTCACGACAACTTGTTGCCTAGGCAACGCGACAAATATAAACAATTATTTTCATAATGATGGACTGGGCTGAAGAGCTGAAAATGACTATAAGAAAGGTAAAATCAAATATATAATAAAAAAGTGCATAATTTATGCATATTTATAGACTACGGCGCGCAAGGGCCGCCGTTCAAAGAGTCGCGATGTGCTCAACGAGCAACCGCAGGCGGGAGGATCCTCGAGTGCCGCGTCCACACAAAAGCTGAACAAGGATATATCTATAGATATAACCCTGGATATACACAATGAGAGCAGTAGTCCCACGACTACAGCGGCCACAACGCCGACAACATATAATAATGAATTCGAATCAAGTCGACCGCCCATAAGACGCGTTTCGGGTGGCTGGGCGGACTCTGGATCAAAAGGCCACAAGTAAGTTATATTTGCTAGCTGTTTCTATTTGTTATTAATAAACATTTCAACATTCACAGATCGAAGAAGAATTCATTTGATGAGTAAGCTGGAACACTTTCAATAAAAGCATTAATAACGAATTCCAAATATTTAGCGAGCGTTTTCAGGTGACAAAGTCGGCCACGAGCACGATTCCCACCGATGATATACCCATTATACCAGACTTGGATGATGTCAGGGACGACTTCTTGCTAAATGAAATAGCCGATCCTCCCCCGTAAGATCTTTATCTTTATATATATTATAGAAGTTAATAATGTCTCAATTTTTCAGTGCCCCTTACAGCCACGAAGCCACATTCAAGGAGTTGAGCTCCGATCTGCTCTCGCAGAATGCTTTCTCGGCTATTGAAGACGTCGACTTGTCTATTTTGACGCGTTGCTTGTATGATCAAGAAACTCTGGATGAACCGGACGAAGTTTGGGAATGGGATAAACTCTTCACGGAGGTCACGGCTCAAATAAATTCGGATAAGACATTGAAGGGTATGCCGGAAAAGATTGAAATCGGTCCCGACGAAATACCACCTACGGCAAAATATAATTAGGCATACATTTGTAATCAAAAAATCAAAAATAAATGCAATATTTAGGCTAACGCACTTGTTTTTAAATTCAAATTGCCATTCAATAGTAAACACCCACAAATGGTGCTAAATAATACCAAAAACATCGTTTGAGCAATCGAAAACAATCGATAGTACTATCAGAGTTTTTCCCGTCACTATACGTCACGGGGCAGCGAAAAGCATAGTTTTAGACACTTTTTAATCTGTGTTAATCGCGTTGAAAATTGTGCTTAAAAATTACCTATTGTTAAAAACTGCATCATTAAAAGAACAATGGCGCCGAAAGCAAGAACAGTTGGTATCAAACCGAAAGCACAGACCTTCAAAGATAAGTCGAAACCAACCGATGTGCGGCTGTCCAACATACAGGCGGCAAAGGGTAAGAAAATTTATAATATTTGCGAAAATATGCAAGCTATCACAAAAAGTGTATGCAACAGGCGCATTTATGTTGCAATCAACAAATTGCGCTGCATATTAGTTATTGTTGAGGCGAACTACTGTGAAAAAATGCATTAAACAAAAGCAGTTGCCGGCTGCGCTGCGCCGTCTCGAAGCTTCTTAGTGATGACACTTGCTGCAAATATGACTCATGTGCTGCGGCAAAGCGTGCGAATTAGAGAATTTTATTAATCGATGCTTTTTGCAGCTGTTTCCGATGCGATTCGCACCAGTCTGGGTCCGCGCGGCATGGACAAGATGATCCAGGCGGGCAATGGGGAGGTGTCCATAACCAACGATGGCGCCACCATTTTGAAGCAGATGAACGTCTTGCATCCGGCTGCCAAGATGCTGGTCGAGCTGTCCCGTGCCCAGGACGTGGAGGCCGGCGATGGCACCACATCTGTGGTGGTTATTGCTGGCGCCCTGCTCGAGGCCTGCGAGAAGCTGCTGCAGAAGGGTCTGCACCCGACTGCCATTTCGGACTCGTTCCAGCGTTGCTCGAACAAGGCGGTCGAGATACTCACCCAAATGTCCACGCCCATTGAGCTCAAAGATCGCGAAACTTTGATCAAGAGCGCCTCGACATCACTCAACTCCAAGGTCGTCTCGCAGCAGAGCAGCCTGCTGGCTCCGATTGCTGTCGACGCCGTGCTGAAGGTCACCGAGCCGGGCAGGGAATCATCTGTGGACCTTAAGAACATCAAGGTTATCCAGAGTCTGGGCGGCACCGTGGAGGATACGGAGCTGGTGCAGGGCTTGGTCTTCACCAGCCGCTCGGCAGGCACCAATGCGCCCAAGCGCATCGAGAAGGCCAAAATTGGTCTGATTCAGTTCTGCATTTCGGCACCAAAAACCGATATGGATCACAATGTGATTGTCAGCGATTATGCGGCCATGGATCGTGTGCTCAAGGAGGAACGTTCCTACATTCTCAATATTGTCAAACAAATCAAGAAGGCCGGCTGCAATGTCCTGCTCGTGCAGAAGTCCATATTGCGGTGAGTTAATCAAAGTTCATTCTGAATTACAAAATACTAAAAGATTTCTCTAGCGATGCCGTTTCGGATCTGGCTCAGCATTTCCTGGACAAGATCAAGTGTCTGGTTGTCAAGGATGTGGAGCGCGAGGACATTGAGTTCGTATGCAAGTCTCTGCATTGCCGTCCCATTGCCTCGCTGGATCATTTCACAACCGAGAACTTGTCCAGCGCTGACCTCGTCGAGGAGGTGGCCAGCGGCACTAACAAGTTTGTCAAGATCACGGGCATACAGAATCAGGGACGCACCGTTTCGATCATTTGTCGCGGCTCCAACAAGCTGGTGCTCGAGGAGGCAGCCCGTTCGCTGCACGATGCGCTCTGCGTGGTCCGTTGTCTGGTGAAGAAGCGCGCCCAGATTGTGGGCGGCGGTGCGCCGGAAATCGAGATGTCACTGCAGCTGGCCGCATTGGCTCAGACTGTCGAAGGTGTCGATGCCTATTGTTATCGCGCCTTTGCCGATGCACTGGAGGTCATTCCATCAACTCTGGCCGAGAATGCGGGCCTCAATCCGATTGCCACCGTCACGGAGCTGCGCAATCGTCATGCCCAGGGCGAGAAGACAGCGGGCATCAATGTGCGCAAGGGCGCCATTACCGATATATTGGCGGAGAACGTTGTCCAGCCGCTGCTGGTCAGCACCTCGGCCATCACACTGGCCACAGAGACCATACGCTCCATTCTAAAGATCGATGATATTGTGAGTAGCTGGAAAAGTTTTCTTATTCTTTTATTTATCTCTGGTTTTTTCTTATAGATCAATACCATGAGCTAAACATGTTCGCCTCCAGGTCTCCTACTGTACTGCAGGATCTTTACTTATTTGCATTTTCATAAAACACCTAAAAAAACCCTTAACACACACACAAACACACACTCATAACGTATTGCGGCTGCTTCGGCCGCATCCAATTGAATTAAATTCACCTTATAATACACCACGCAAGGTAATAACTATTTAACGTTTAATAAAAAATTATGTATTTCGCTTTGTATTAACAAGGAACTGAATATTGTCGAGTATGTTTTGTTTTTATTTTCGTTTTTATTTTCGTTTTTATTTTAATTTTTATTTTATTTTCATTTTTTGAGTTGTGCGCAATTTTGAAATTGGCGCACATTTGAAAACTTGCCATTCACAGGCGTGCGCGCGTTTTGGCCATGGCGTTGCCACGTTTGGCGAAATTGTGTCAAACAGTTTGCATTTGGCGGCAAATTCAAATTTTGTTGGCGCTACATTGAAATATGTCATTTTCTTGTTACTAAAAAGTATGAATAAATAAAGGAATTTATTTCAATTACGCAAGGCATTTAATTAACGTACATAAATAATATGTATGCCATAGAAATGTATATATATATATATATATATATATGAATATATAATTAACAATTATATATAAAACTGTTTGTATTGATTGATTCGCTGATTGACTGATTCGCTGATTGACTGCTAAATTGGTTCGCTGATTGAAGATCAACTAATCTGTTAGAGCTAGAAAATTCTATTTATTACAATAATTACCTTTTGTTCGTTTAAGTCGAGGTATTCGAATTTTTAGCTGCAAAACTGAAAAACTTATTTGGAAAAAAAATGTTTAAATATTTACATATGTTTCCCGTTGGGCTTAGAACTCATTTATAAAGATCTAATGTTAAATTTTCGTCCGATCACCTTCTAAACTCCGTAAAAACTTCAATCAATTTTATATAATGCTTTTCCAAGAGTGGAAAATGTGCGGAACAAAGTTAGTTGGAATTGTTTAGCTGCTTCTCACGATTCCCAAAATCGACTCTAATCGATGAATAATTTTGGTTATTGGGTTTTTTAATGGTCATCCCAAGTTGCATAGCCAAAAGTTCAAAATTCATTTTAAATTTGTTTACAAATACTTTAGCCGTGCAACGCCGGTTAACACTAGCTAGCAATTTGATTAATTTGCGAACAAACTTGACTTGACTTCAGAACATGATTGTTATTAGATCTGCGACTTCTCGTTCAATTTCGCGCCAATATTTCTATCACCTTTGGCTCATCTGTGGACTGTGAGATTAGTTCACGCCCCTTTTTTGGGTACTGCTAAAATTTCAAAGGATTTGCTATCCTTTTGGGTGTCCGCGCACCCCAACTCCATGCCCGTATATATTTTGGCGGCCCTTTTTTTTTTTTTTGGGCTGAAATTCCTTTTGTTGTGCGTGTAAATAAAAATCACTTGATGCGATTTTTATGATGTGCGTTAAATGATTAAACCACTTGAAATGGTTTCAAATTGTCAAGAAAAAAGACAAGAGGACGAGGAAAATTTGAGCCCGAGCCTCATTTTCCCTTCGTTTACTTTTCGTTGGAATTCCCGGAAGTTTTGGGCGCGTTAGTTAGTTAATTAAATGTGTAAACATGTCGAAAAAAGAGGAAAGGCTGAACTTTCGGCCTGGTGTTGATTTCAGTTTCAGTTCACGCCCAGAAAAAATCAAAGATGCCATTGTCCCATTGTTGGGGGTGGGTCAATCCCGGATGGGAATTCCTGTTGCTTTGATTTTTGAGCACATCAACTTTTCCAGCTAATTGGCTGGCGATTTGAGCTTCAGCGGGGGTTGGATACCTTCTCGTTTTTATTCAAGGGGGTTGCATGCAAATTTTCGTGTCCAGCCATGTTTTAAAATCAACCATTTTTGAATGGGCTTTGCCTACTTTGTGGCATACTTTTGGGCGGACCTTGCGGGTTGCTGGGAAAAAGAGAGAGAAGTCGAGATTTTAGCTTCAATTTGCGGCATTTCATTCTTATACCCTTTAGAGATGTGCAAAGGTGGGTATGATCATTTCATAGAGGTCTGAAATTTAAAGAGTATATATATTTATGATGAGATCTAACGATATTCGTCTGTCTATGAGATATGAGAAGCTATTAGAGCCAAATTTTGTATATCATATTTAAGGTAGGAGTTTAGATCAAATTTTTCAGTAGCCTTTACGCCCATAAGCTTGCTGTTCCTGTTTCTGGCTGACTCCATCACAGAGAGACGCCTCCAAGGGTTCTACTCCTGCGACTTACCTTTGAGGCGAATCATCTTAACTCCCTACAGTATTAGGCCATGTCCTCAATCCTTAGTACTCAATTCCCTTCATTGTTAATATTCCCCATTATAAATATCCCTCCATTGTAAACATTCCTACATTGTAAATATCCCTACATTGTAAATTTACCTCCATTGTAAATTTACCTCCATTGTAAATATCCCTCCATGTAAATATCCCCAATTGTAAATATGCCTCCGTTGTAAATATCCCTCCATTCCTATAAGCTACAGAATTGTAACTATATATACCCCTATTTCACAGTCTTGGTAGGGATCAGAAGGTGCTAAAAGCGCTTAATAAAATTCATTTAATCTTTAAAAAAAGATTTGATATATCGTTAGTTCCACCCGTTTCCGTGAAATCGATAAATAGAAGTACCTTAGCATATATCAATTTTTGAGCATATATATTTGCTCACAAAAGTTAAAGACAGCTCATTTTGTATACCCATTAAAAATGTTTAAATAGGGTAT